CTGCCCGTCTTACTGTCTTTGCTCTAAATTCAGATAGTTCCGTAAGAAGCATTTGATAATGCTCTGTAACTTGTGTATGTTATGTGTTTGCTGTGTTTTTTGTCTCTGTTGTTATTTTCTCTTTTATACCTTCTGTACAGCACTCTGGTTCCACTTGTGGTGTTGAAAGTGCTCTATAAATAAAGTTGATTTGAGTTGAGTTGCACAAAATGGTACCTTTTGTAGTAGTGATCTACAGAAAGTATTCTATGAATTAGATATTGCGTAATTGCTAACAAGTAAAGCGCTATTAAAGAACTCCATTTCTTTCTCTCTTGATTTGTTTTTGTTTACTTGGTTTCTTTCACTCTCACTTGCTGTGAGGAAGAGGCCTCACACTGTGTTTGTCACACTGCTCGGGAAAAGTGTCACCTCTTAGTGGTGAGCTAGAACAGCTGGCACTAACAGGTGAGAGTGTCAGTGACATAAAACAACAAACTCAGAGGGTCAGTGGGGGATCCCCCTCCATTCACTCTCATTCCCTACGTCCTGTCATTTAAACTTACTGTACGTCATTTAATGTCAGTTGTGACAGTAATGACACGATCGTGATGGCTGCGGTATTAACAGTAACAAATAGTTCCTCTCACACCTCCCGGCCGTGACCCACCAACATCTATTGTTCCTAAAAACCCAAGTCAAGACAGCTGCTTTGTAAAGTCCCCAAACTGAACGCACTACTGCACAGAAAAAGAAAAACTTACAAAAGAAAAGGGGACCAGAGGGTTGCCGGTTTCTAGTCCACCACTGCTGAAGGTGCCCTCTGAGCAAGGCCCTGAACCCCTAACTGCTCCCCAGGTACTGCCCGAAGGCTTCCGACTGCTCCTAATTAGGATGGGTTAAATGCAGAGAACTAACTAATTTCCCCTCGGGGATAGTATAGTATAAGGGGGAAAAAAGAGAAACAACTATGTTGCTGCAGCATAACAGTAAAAAAAAAACAGGAAGGGAAAAGAACCAAGAGAAACTTCAGCCTAATGGGAATTCTTAAAACACGTAAAGCAACGGACTACTACTGTTAAATAAAGTTTAACAAATAATAATTTAATAAAGTTTTGTTACTTTTGTCGTTTTATGAATGTGTTCTTTAATCTTATTTCCCAGTTGCTTTAAAAGTCTGTAAAGCAGTGGTGGATTAATGAAACAGGTAAATGTTTGAAGGTGTGCAAAGTAAGGATGTAGACACATATATGTGCTCAACATAACCAAAAAGCACACAAGATGGGAATCAGGAAGAAAACAGGACCTATGTACCATGTAGTAAGGGAGCGAACAGTAAATCTTTAGTATTAAAGTAAGTGCTGTAGCTAGCCCCTCCTGTTCCTGCCGCTGTGCTGTAATTACCGTCTCAGTGTCAGCACAGCCTGAGCAGCAGGCAGCAGCTCCCCCCTTTGAACTGCAGGCAGGGCTGCTAATGAAGAGCCAACAGAGGCCCAGCACAGCTTTGTTCAGTCACATACTGTGGCTCTTTTTAAAAGCAATGGGACACAAAGCTCGTGGATTACAAGTGCATTAAGAGTCACTGAACATGGTTAAACTGGGTACACTGACGGTTAGATTGGTCATTTATTTCATTCTGCTTTCCCCCCCCTCTTTGATGTAAGGCTACTCTCCCTCTACACTACATAGGGATCACACATCACTCATTGTTTTTTCTTTTTTTTATTTGTTGGATCCATGCCGTGTTATCTCAAGATCGATTTTCTTAGATGAAAATGTCACATATTAGCGGAGTATGGAAGGACCATTACATATTATACTATATTGTAGACCTGAACAGTGTGTGTCAGGTTCGATCTTTCTCGGTTTAAAGCCAAGTGTTGGTTTTATTCTAAACAGGATTCTAATAGAAACTATACTGTATCTTGTAGATGATTATGTTGTGGACAGTCATCCAACTGAATGTGTCTAACACAATGTTGGATGGACCTATCCGCAAAACACATGATGATCTTGACTGTGACACGCAAAAAGGTGCATTTTCCTACCTTGAATCTCACTTTCTTGAGCATCATCCTTCAATCCAGGTGAGTCGACAGTAACAGAAATAAGATGCTACAGAACTTTTCCAACCCCTCGCTCCATTCAGAAAAACAGCAATCAATCAAGCTCCGATCAGTCGATCCTCTGATTCCAAATCCAGTCAAAACATCCAAACTGAATCAGCGTGTGCTCTGCAGTGTGTGCCTGCCGACTGTGTGTTTAACATGCCAAAGACAACAGTGTCTGCTCCAGTGTCGCCCGGCTCGCCCCTCTCCCTCCTCTGAGACCCTTTGCAAAGCTTATCAGTCTGCTCATTCATTCGTAAAACGACACACCCTCTTTTTATGACTGGAGGGCTGCTATTAACCCCCCCCCCACCACCACCCACACAAATATGGGTGCTGGTAAGCTCTCTTGAACTCACCCCCTCTGACCCTGTAAAGCTCTCCCCCCTCCCCCTCACGCTCTCCGTCTCCCAGCATTCAACCATCTGTTGGGCCGCAGCGTCTCTGCTCAACCACTGACTCGCCTCATCTTCAAGGCTGTTCAGCTTCTTCTGTCACACAGTCCATGTGTACGAGTACTCCATGCGACACAGCAAAAATACGGTTTAAACTCCAATACATTCAAAACAACCTACGTATATGGCATGGATGAGTATGAGGTACATGGTCCTTAGCCTTTAACTAGAGGTCAAAAAATATTTTTTCCCTGTGAAATTATTGTATTGACACAAAATGAGAACTAATGTGACTAGAGAAATTAGAGAGGGACTGTTTAGATGTTTGAAGAAGTGTTTGTTTGACCATTGACCCCATGCTAATGTGTCTATACCCAATAAAACCACCTTCAAAACGGTTCACAGAGTCACTGTGAGTGAAGCAGCTCCAGTCTTTCAGCAGCTCTCAAAGCGGTCAAGATGACCTGAATATTTGGGTTTCCGTTTAGGTGCGGAGTTTAAAAAACAAAAAACAAAAGCCCAGCGGAAGCATGGTTAAACACTAGAAAGATACAATCAATTTAAAGAAGGGTTTTGTGTGTGCAAGTGTTGATGTGGTTGAAAGTCTTAACCACCATGCACTGAGACTGAGACTGTTAATCTACATCAGGTGATTTCTGCTTAATTAAGACCTTCAACCCCAGAACATTCTGCTTCCTCACCACCATCTGGGGTTATCAAAGAGGAAAATGTTGCTGGCTGCACCTTCAATTTCATGTCATTTTGACATTTTCATATTAAGTTTTCATGCGCTACATTCATAAGTATACAAGTTAGGAGCACACACAGAAAGGTTCGTTTTTTCATTGTGGGCTTTGCAGGTGGACAAAATACCAGCTGAAAACCGCCACGGCCTCTTCTCTTATAGAACCCGGGAACAAGATACATGAGAGGTAGCAAGATGATAATAATAAGAATCTTGTAAACAAAATTCTGTTCAATCTTTTTAACTTTTCCTCCAATGATTGCTGTTTAGACACTCTGGTAGCGTAGCCACATTGAGGGTACAGGATGGACTGCCATGAAATTTGGTACATATATCCGTCGTCCCCAGAGGATGAGGGGATCCCCTGACTTTTTATCTAGCACCACCATGAGTTCTACGTTTTAATTTGTCAAATACTTTGGTTTTATGACCAAGTACCTAATGTCATTCCAAACCAACCTCAGCTGTACATGTGCTAATTAGCACATATTAGAATGTAATGTGTGTGTGTTTGTCAGCAAAATAAAAAAAAAATGTTTACCTCTACACTGGGTTGAAGAAATACAAGGTCTTATTTAAGGGGGTCACAAAGTAAACAGGTTGTGAATAATAAAGATCACATATTGAGTGCACATGGAGGTACAGGCTGTAGCTCGCTGCTCCATGTTTAGTCTGACTTCAGCGACCCTCAGTTAATGCTAACAAATGATGTCCCATGACTGGATGAGTAATTCTGAGAGCTTACATGTGACGGTTGTTAGTAATCAAATTAAACTAAATAAAACCACTCAAATTTATAGTGAGTTAATGCAGAAAAAAAAATAAAAATTTTATTTTTTTTTAAAGTGTGGATGGGTCATCTAGCAAGTTACACTGTAATTGTGCTGTTGTGGACCAACTGCCTCTTTTATTTAATATCAAATTTTCTTATCATTTCAATTTTAAATGCCATTAAAATATATATATATTCTGCCTTGAAGGCAGCAGATAAATGTGATTCATAATGTGAAAAAAGCATCTTCAGACACCGAATAGAGTAAATAAGAGAGCTACAACAAATTGTTGCATTATTGATGATTCCCAACTGGGTAAATCCCCGATGCTAATGAAGTGCATCACCAACACAAAAACCCATGTGAGACTTACATTTTCAATAATACATTTTTATTCCATTAAATTCTTTTTTCTCTAATTGTACACTGGAATGTTAAGATTCCCCTTCAGTAATTTAGTTAAAAATGCTCAATTCTAGTCATTTTCAACCCCACATCCACACAACCATTGCTAAATTGAAAATTAGGAGTACAAATGAAAAAAAAAAAAGAAAAAAAAAAAGAACATGAAAGACAAATGTTATATTCTGAATAATGTTGATGTACTATGAGAATGTCAGTAAAGGATGACTAGGTGGATGAGCAGGGGTGTCAGCAGCAGTTCACTGCGAGGGCTCCAGTCTCTCTGCTTACCTTGGATGTGAGGGGAGTGGGTTAAATATCAGGCTGGGAGTCTCTGATTGCTGCTCTGTGTGTGCGTTTCCACTGTGATGCCAACACAAATCCACACCCATCTCGGATCTAAAATGCCTCATGGGATGTTAGATTAGGGGCTTGGATGTTGTTTCTGGGCCGCGTTCAAAGTACTTCTTCCTCTGATATCTGAGGGCTGATCATTGGACTTAAATGGACCCGAGTGGAACATGGCGTCTCTTTTTGACAAAGTGAGGAGTGGCTGCAATGGTGTTACAAAAAAGATCCTAAGAAAATTCAACAGATGCAATAGTCAAATGTATTTACTGATAGGTAACTTTGCCTTGCAGCTGAGAATTCCTTACAACGTCCTGCTCTTCACTGTCAATTTCAAGATCCAGATTAGTGGTAAACAATGACAAAGTATACAGCAAACAGTAAAAAAAAAATTCAAAGTTAAAAATAAAAGGACAGTGCGGCATAATTCTGATAATAACCGCAGACAGAAAAGACAATATACTGAGCACAGAGCCATATTTTGCTTTTCAGCGCAGAACCAATGTGTTACCTCTCTACAAAAACTGACAACTCAAGTGTCCTCACACGAAAGACAAAAAAAACAAAAAAAACAACCCAATCATCTGAAGTGAGATATCAATAGAGCAAATCACAATAGTTTAAAGATTAAAGAGTGACGGGCTAATAATGATTGAGACAGCTACAAATCTGCAGTTATTATGGAGAAGGAAATCTGAAAAGAAAGAAAGCAAGAACCCCATTCAAGGCGGCGTCTATCGATGAACCATTGCAATGCAAGTGTGAAGAAGAAAGGTTGTGGAGGACGCACGATTCTCGGGGGGACGCTAAACTACCAGCGCTCTTCCTACTGGAGACTGATTCAGTGGCCTCAGGTCACCGTTTTCCCTCTCTACCTCCTGGCAGGGCTTTATTGATAGATGGACGAGGAGACGGCCGCCGGCCTCTCCTGCACCCCCGCAGTCATCCTCTACTTAGCCTGAAGTCCTCTTTACAGTTCTGCTTGGCGAACATGACAGCATCAGTGTCGTTTTCTTTGTGTGTGTGTGTTTGTTGGTTTTTCCTGTTCAATTAACTCTATATATAGATGATCCTCTCTCATACAAACATATAAATACACCACCGCTGCTCTGCTCCACCACAGGAAGAGGCTTTGCCAGAGGGCTGACGTAGTCCTGTTGATGTACACAGTCTCTGAAATAGTATACAGGGTGGGCAGGCAAGAAATCTTCAAACTTTCTCTGACGCATAGATTTGGACTTTTTTTGTTGGTGATTTTTTTGATTTTGAATTCTTTGAATTTTTTTTCTCTTCTTTTTTTTTTTTTTTTTTTTTTTTTTTTTTTTTTTACAGGATTTCGTATTTGTCGACAACAAAGGAGGTTTCTGAAGAGAATCTAACTGAGCTGTCTCCATCTACGTGAGTCACTTTGGTAACCTGTGGGGGGGGGGAAAGAAAGAACTAGCATTAAAAGCACGTCAGTAGATTATCAGAAGGAACATTGAGTCTTGTTTCATTTGGCCAACAATCAGAAACCTACATATATTCAGTTTGTAATGACATACAAGAGAAGCAGGACACAGAAGAATTTGGCATCTCTGTAAGATGGTTGCCAATTAATTTTCTGCAGATCTAAATGGGAATAGTTATATTGGACTAAATGCAGCAAATAGACTGATGGGACCCACAATCAGCAGGAAAATGTCACTATGTGATCATTTTTAACCAGCAACTATTTCACAGTCAAAGTGACTCATGTTCAGATATAGGATCTTAAGTGGCTAATGTACTCAATGGCCACTTTATTAGGTACACCTGTACTGCAATTCAATACAACAGATCCATCATAAATTCTACCTTTATAAAGTTTAGAATGTTCAGTTTTTTGTTGACATTACCCGAAATGTGCAAATTCAATTCTATGTTTAATACTGAGGTGGTGTTGTACTGGACTACATTATATATAAGTGTTTCTTCCCTATTCACATGCATGAGGGGGGCAAAATACTGGGGAAGAAATCATTGGGCTGCCCGGCGATGCTGAACTCCAGGCTGCCAGAAACACAATAATAATGCAGTCTAGTACAACACATCACAAAAACATCATTTAATAAATGCCTCTATGGCAGTGTTAAATAAAAACAGCAGTATTATAGGTGTCATAAAGTCGACTTTATGGCAGAACTGTTGTTTTGGATTAGGTAGGGCCATTTCAAGCAAAATACTATTCAATAGTTACTGGGAACTATTTGCCCATTCTTTGTAGGTGATCTGAACTCATTGGTCATGAAGCCAGAAGTAAAAAGATTCCAACCACACACACAAACCCATGACAGGTAACTCTTGTGTTCAGTAACCCACCTGGATGTCGCAGTAGTTGCGCTTAGACACAAAGGACACGTTGATGGGGAAGAAATCGTTGGGCTGCCCGGCGATGCTGAACTCCAGGCTGCCAGTCTTGTTGTTGGCATCGATGACGGGTAGGCACCACTCCAGAACGTTTCGCCTGCTGTCGTGTTTGTACTCTCCATCCAGGTCACCAATCACAGGAGCTCCCACACCGGACCTGCAGGAAAACACAAACATGTGATGTGGCAAGTAATATACAGAGGTTTTATGACGTTAAGGTGGCATATATGCCACTAGACTGCATGGTGCCATAAACACTTTGTCATTAATAGGATCTCAGTCATAAAAAAGTCTTGCTTAATCTCTATGAAAAAGGTTTCAATATATTTATTTATCTGGGGAAGTGTGTTTCGTAATCATGTGGACCTAATTTCAGCCACCCTATTAATCTGATGCAGCTACAAACTTTCACAGATACAGTGCAAGAGAGGCTTCAAAATAAAACTACAGTATTAACCAGTGTTTTACATCCCCTGACCTAAAAGCTATTTCAGACACTTTTGCACAAGAAAAACAATTTTTTTTTTCACCATTATGTTCCATCACAAACTTTTACTGCACGCAAACTCATTCAGAGCTTCCACATTTTAATTTGTCGATGTACTTACGGTACAGGGATGCTGATGACCACGTCGTTGAGCTCGAGGCTGTCCTCCTGCAGCTCGTATTCAATGTTGACGTCACAGCCAGTACCACTCTCTGAAGGCCAGCAGTTTACTGTGGAAGGAACAATATTATATCATATTATCGGTCCTAACTGTGTCTTCGCTGTACAAAGACTGTCAAATGGTGACAATGAATAAAGTGAACAGCACAGGGCTCATACTCTAATGTCCCCAGGTAAAGCACGTGTACTGGAACTTACTGGTTAGAGGTATGAGCGCTTCATCTGTGGTCTGTAGTCTCCACTTCAGCACACCAACATCGTTGTTGAGAGGGAAGGACTTCTCTGGGTTCTTCAGACCAATCACTGAATCAGCTGTGAACAACTTCTTGTCCACATTGGGATGTGTCTGAGCAGAGAAGACAGTGAGCAATGTAGCTGCCATTATTCAGGGAAACCATTTTTAAGGAATAGTTTTTTCAGAAACTGATGTTTAAGTTTCTTTTTCCACTTGTTTTTCTCTCTGTTGCATGCATGCGTGTGAGAAAGAACAAGGCACTATGAATTCATGGCATTGTCCTCCATCTTGTCTATTGATTTTCACGCGTTTCACCACGTTGTGCATTTATCATTTGCTTTTAGGGGTGAGATATGTTATTGTGTCATAAGAACTGATAAAAAAAATGTTTGTCAAATGTTTTTTGTGTTCTGCTATATCAAAATCACGTTATTTAAAAATATTTATCTCCCAAGCGCCTTAAGCTTTGACAGCTTTTAGTGACATTTCACTTTATGTCATTCATTTAGGCAAAGACTGTGAACCACGATATCTCTCAAAAATAAAGCCCGACTGACTTATTGGCCGGTATGAGATAACTGCATTTAAATCGGCATCAGCGTTTAAAACAGCAGATATATTACTTGAAAAGAAACAGAGTCAGATCCTTTCCATATGTCATGAGTGTTGCAGTGCGCACTACAGCTCCTCTGTTAACAACACTGCCTCACCAAAAAAAACCACTAAAGAAAACAATCAGCTGACCGCAGTCTAACGGAGCATGTAAAGCGAACACGGGAGAGTGGCTGTGTAACTGGTGAGTTTCTCATTTGTCACGTAAATTACATGACTTTAATAATTATAATAAAAACAGCCCCAATCTCTTCTCCTCTCCTGAAAACATCCATAACTTGCTAACCATCCCGTTTTTCATTGCCCTCCCGGCTTCCTCCCGGCTCACAGCAGTAACATTACGTTTAATGTTACAGGAGGTGAGTGTCTGAGGCTACGCTGTTGACAGAGGTGGTTGTAGATTTATTTCTGAAACATTGGGGCAGTTTTAGTCAATGGTCCTATAATTTCTCCCTAGTTCATCACTTCTAAATATTCTCCAACATCACTTACAGCAGCTAACGCTGCCTGTTACTAAATTAGCCACAAAGCTAATGCCGTGTTTATTAGTAGAGGAGCACTAACGTCGTAATGAGCAGTGAAACTATAGACTTTAGCATATTATAAATATATCTGTGAGCTGTTCGTTTGTAGTTACAGTCGGTGTGTCAGAAATGATTAAACCAGAGCGGACATGTAAATTAACGTGAGCTGAACAAGTATCTAACAAAGTTATCTAGCTCCACTTTCAAATGTGAAACATTGAAGCGTGCAGACGTTGTAGACAGTCATGTAGTATTGGATGCATTCAACAGCAGCTCACTGTATCGTAGAAGGCATGTTTTAGAGCCAGATGGTTGAGAAATGGTTTCACGTAGCTTTGGATAGAATTAAAGAGTGCTGGTGAAGGGATAAACTAGACGTGAATTATGCTACATTGAAATTACGGCAGATTATGTGTAAGGTAAAATACACATGCTTATTCTCTCTCACTCTGTTTAGAGATGGCTGAAAAAGTTGCACCTTCTAGCAGCAAATATTTATTTAAGTGCAATTGTTATATGTTCAGTTGTTGAGACTGTAATCTATTTTGTTAATATATTCCATTTAGGAAAAGGTATAAAACTCCACAAAGAGAACTGCTTTCAATATCGGCCTGTTCTAAGTGTAGTTTATACAGGAGTCTACTATACAAATCATTTTCAAAATCTAAATATCGGCTCATCAATTCTCCCCAGCAAATGCTTTGACGATGTGGTGGACCTACTTGGAGCTGCAATCCTTTGTTGTCGTTATTGTTGATAATGAGGCGAATGCGTCCGTTCTTGTCGTCTGTGACTCGGAGCGTCACCATGCCCAGCAACTCCATGTTCTGTAGGCCGCCATCACGACCGCAAGTCAGCGAGATCTTCTCCTCCACACGCAGATGTACACTGGAGAGGAAAAACATCCAAACAGGCTTTAAGTAACCAATCAATTACACAGAAGACTAATCAGGCAATACTTACACAAGATCTAAGAGTGGAGAAATGGGGTTAGAGATGACAAACACAGCATCTGGGCTATTAAAGAAAACTAAACCCGTCTACTCAAAGCAAGAATAAATGACTGTCATTATGGAAGAGAGCAGTGGCTTACTGCTGGACAGCAGAAGCTCACTACGTTTTGCATTAAGACATTAAAAATATTGTAGCTGAACAACGCTGAATGGCCAATTTACAATTTTACAAGTATCTTCTCCATGTTCGGTCAAATGAATACATTATTCTAATCATAAATGAAACATGAATACTTCTCAAAGTGTGAGTCCTGGTCACCGTTTAGTCATAAACAGGGGACACGGTGGGGAACGTCTGGCTGACAGCACTGCCAGGAGCCAGACATGAGAGTCAAAGAGGCGTTATTGCTGGGGTGACGTCATCGATTACGGAAATAAGTCGATTTGCATAACGTGTCGGCGCGACACCCCTACGACCATCTAAAGTTTGGGAGACAAGCAACAGAAAGTTTTATATTTTACAATTTTCTTACGTTATTTCATCGCTAAATCCACTTCTGAGAAGTTTTGAGGTGAGAAATCAACTGTGTAGAATATTGACAGTTTTACGAAAAGTGACAGCGGAATAAAAATGTGCTTGAAAATTTTCGGAGTTGAGGAGCTCCGCAAGGGAATGCCTGCGCCAACAGGGGCTCACGAAGCCGGCCAGCCGCCCGCTCACAGACCGCTGCAGCAACAACGGCAGAGGAAAACACAGCTGGAAGGTTTTCATACCGCTTATCTGTCTTTACATTCTGAGGAATGTTGAAACGTTTTAACTTAAATCAAGAGAAAGCTGTGTGGATCGCATTGAGTTGCGGCAGTTGTGTGTGGCGTCGCTATGACGACCAGCTACATTGAGAGGTACTATCTCTGGGATGGAAAATGGAGTACAGCCAAACAGAGTTGAGTCGAGCTGGGACTGGGTAATGGAAAAAGGGCTTAATATTCGGCCAATATACTGGCCAATCAGAAGCAGAGAAGTGCAGGCCAATCGGTAAACACTGCTTCAGTTCAGCTGTACCCCTTACCAGCTTAACAACATGGAATTGAGCAAGAGTTTCAGAGTGGTGAGTTATTAATCTGTAACAAAAGTATCTTTAAAAAGTATCTGTATCTTTTTAACTGAGCTCTGTCTCTACATCACAGTAACAACTTCATGTCCACTGACTGCCTGGAGGGGAGCTAGTGTTTGGAAGGGAGAGGAGAGATGTGTGCTGCACCTCGCTGTTTTACCACCAGTGTTTTTGAGGGCGTGTCGGAGTAGCCGCTTGGCGAGCGTTATATGAGGCGCATTTAGCTTTCATCCCTGGGAAACGGCTGCACTACAAACCAGCTGTTTTCAGGCAGTTCAGAGCAGAGTTTTCAGTGGGAGATGGGAACTCCCTTTGGGCTAGACTTCGGGCTTTTTCACTTTGCAAACCTGTTACATGCCCAAAAAAGGTATTTAACTGTGTCACAGCAATCATTTTGAGTTTGAGGTCAAGTATTTGTCTGATCTGGCAGGGTAACATACGATAGCTCTGCTTTTCTTGAGAAGCTGCAGAGCTGTAGTTTCCATTCATTCAACTTACACTTTAAATTTCCCAGCTACACTGAGGCTTTTTGAAGACACATTTCTCTCTCTGGCCCGTCAGTCAACAGTCTTGTTCAGAGTTTAGCGTGCATGCACGCTTTAAAACATTTATCGAAAGTTTTAAATCTTTTTACATGTTTATTTACAGGACTAAATGTTGAAATGTATATTGTAATAGGCTGTATATTAACTTATTGGGAGAAAACTGGTATATCTATGTAAAAATCACGCGTTGAGCACCCCCATATCGCCAAAATGGCGTGTTCCTTGTTTCGTTGCGAAGCTTCAACTGTGAGAGACAGTCGAATCAGGCTCCGCCCATCGAAGCATCGAATCTTTGACTATTCGGGGTCAGCCCTACTATTAGCATTATTATACTAACACAGCAGTGACTAGTTTTAAATTATTCCACTATCATCATTATTCTAATGTGCTTTATGCGTCTCTTTTTCAGGATGATTGAATAAAATATACAATTATTAATGAGACAAGTTGTTAATATTTATTTTGTAGATATCGTTGTTGCTATTAATCGAGTAATGAAAACATTGTCTTTAGAAAAATCAATAAATTAGTTGAAAATGTGTAGTTAGATGAATTGATAAAAACAAAAATCGTAAAGTGTAGCCTTTATATCAGGCTCGCTGTATGTCGGACAATTTGTCAAAAAAAAATAACGCCCTCCGCTGCCTCTGGCTGTCAGGTTGAGGCAAGCCAGTTGTAAATACTTTCTCATGGGATCTGCACAAATCACGTATGTGACCCATTTTGGCGTCAAAATGGTGAATTTCGCCAAAAAGGTGAGGCATCATGTGACCAACTCAGGACGTTTCCTTTTATCTTTACTGTTATCAGATTATGAAAATGAAAAGATTCATGAAGATCAGTAGTTTAATCACAATTAAATCAAACTTTAATTGAGCGTGATGTGTCTGTACCTCTCCACGTTGACTGGTGGTGGTAGAACTTTAGATACATCTGAGCCCCTCTTTCCTGTATTGGCCATGATGGTTTCACCCTCCGACTTGAGCTTGTCAACAAAGTTGTCCACCTCTTTCCCTTTAGCCCCCAATTTCAGAGCTTTACTGGGTCCACTTGATCTGGAAAAAAATAAATAAACAAAAAAATTCTGAACAGTGCTCTTCAACCATATAAAGAATATCTAATTCTAAACACTGCCATTCAAAAGTACTGCTTGCTCACAATAGTTCCTGTGCAACATAATGAAACCCAGTACAAATAGCAAAACTTGATCAAAGTATTTCACACATGTATTTCTTGGAGATGTACCTGGCTGGAGCCGGTGTGATCTTGGGCTTCTCAGGCTCAACGATGGTGTCTGTGATGATGGACCCTGAGGAGACGCTGGTCATGCCGGCGTTGCCGAAACCGCCGAAAGCTGGCACCTTCTTTCCAGAACGCTCGGCGTCCCTCCTGGCCTGTTGCAACTCCTTGGCCTTCCTCCTCATCTCTGCCTTAGCCTCTCTTTCCTGAGTCTGTGGATTAACAACATTTAAAGATGTTCTAAATGATATGATAGCAACACACAGAGAAAACACGTCATTTCACTAGCGTTTAATCTTGCAAACTAGTGCACTAATTAAAACAATTCAAACTCAACACAACTGATAAAACCCATTTCTGCACATCTGGAGATTTGTGTAAACGTAAACGTTACAGTAGCCTCATCTTCCATAAGAAGTAATACGATACATTGCTGCAGTGACCCGATTTCCCCACAGGGGAACACATTGTGATCTCACCTCTCTGACGGCACGGAACACCTTCTCCTCGTGGGAGTCCATCTCTGTGAAGGTGCGGATCTGAGCCAGGTTAACGTTCTCCCTGTAGCCTAGTGCTACAATCTCATCGAAGGCAAAGATCAGGTCAAAGCAGTGATCTGATATTTCACTCTCCTCCAGCACGCGACAGTATTCTGGGATCTGGAACAATTTGGAAAAAAATATCAGACAACTTAACCAGAGCAAACATTTCAACATTTGGCACATCCTGCAGTGAGTCAGAGATGTGAACATGCCACTAGAAAAGGAATAGAAAAATTATTTCTACATGACAGTCAAGGCTAAACACCGGACTGGTGACCGCTCCACCGATCATGACACTGAATAAAAACACTGCTTGTTTTCTGATCCTGTTTTTGGCACTAATGCACCTTTCACCCGTTTCTGAAAAGCTGTTTGCTTGCTTCTTTAAACATGTCTAAGAAATACCAGAAGTTTGATGCCCTGTGTGTTAATACAGATGCCAGGATCTGAGCAATCGCAAGGCAAATCTGTGTTTTTATTCATCTCTTATTCTTTTTTCCATTTTGGATTGTGATTTCAGTCCTTCCATTTTAGAGGAAAAGTGTAACTCCTACTACAACATGTGTTAAGTTTTAGTGGTTGACCACTCAAAACACCCAAACACATATAGCCTGAAATTTAGCTTTTCTGCCCGCCTAGATGTAATACACAAAAGGCAAAGTGTCAGATTACTTGAAAAGAGGGCTGGACGATATGGCCAAAAATTATCTCACGATAAATAAATAAAAATCATATCATTCGATATCGATCATTATCATAATCTGAGGTAGAACATTCAAAACCATTATGGTAAAATCTTTTTTCAGGCCCATTTCCCTCAACAAAATAAATATCTAATTCATTCGCAATTCAAATAATTAAATCAAACATTTATTGACAATATATTGAACATTGTTGTTGAGGAAAATTATATTGCTATAATTATTATTATTGTTTTATTGCCCAGCCCTACTTGAAAAAGCAATGGCATTTATCAGAAAATAAATGCAACAAGTCAGTGCAGCGTGTTTTTCTGTGAAATGGATAAATTTAGCAGATGTACTCAAACTGATTTACTTTAAAAGAGTGACTTTTACATATTAATGAATGTCCATTACAATTATGCCCATGTGTTTTCTGCCAACCAGCAATGATTGGTACATAACATTGTGCATTCAGACCAAACGCGAGTTTAATCCTCGCAACACTTTCCTCGCGGGGGTTTTATCGCCGGACAACTGCTGAGTGTTCACACACACAACCAGATAACGCGAATAACCACCACCTGCCATTACTACAGCTGTGTGAATCCAAAGTAAACACTCTGTTGTGATTTAACAGCAATAAACAGAAAACTACAATATGATGCAGATTTGTTAAACATATGAATTCATTCTTTGTCAGGTCTGTCAGCAAGACCACATGACAACTTTTAAAATGTTTGTTTTCCCGAATGGAGTTCGGATCAATCAGGGCTATGCTATGCTTACTTGTTTTCTGAACTCACCAGGAAGTTCAACTTCCTCACTTTCTTTTCTCCAAACAATGTCCAGTTTTGTCTGTTTTTTATATAAATATGAAGTCGTAGTACAGCCGAGCTCTGCGTGCCAACTGACGCTAACAACAACAGTGGAACCAGATGTGCACAGAAGCTCGCTGCCGAGAAGCTCCAGTGAAGATAAATCAATGTTGTAATCCCAAACCGCCGTCTTTGCATTGACTTTGTATGTAAACACACCGCCCCCCAACGCTCACTTCGCTTTTGGTCTGAAAGCTCCATTAGGATGTGTTGACAGCGTTGTGTAATTTCTCTAACTGTCAAGGGGGCGACAAAAGATCCGCACTGCAGGTTAAAAGCAGAAAATCAATATAATATACGTTAAAGGACCAGTGTGTACTGTAGGAAAACCTACAGTAGCCACGACACACACGAAAAAAACTTGCAAGTCTATCTCTAGAACCAGTGTTTCGGTTTGTCCACTCAGTGCTATTGTAGAAACATGCAACATGGACCCACTCCCTGATACACTAATGAAAACATACTTGTGAATATTATATTCTATTTCTGCCAATAGAGCACCCTACATCTTACACACTGCCCTGTTAATGAACTAAATCCTAAAGGCTTTACAGGCTTTGTTCATACTGCTTTCTTTGATGGAACCTAGAGATTTGACATTTGCTCCTCAAATGTTATTCTCCTAATTAAACACATTGTCACTTTTACTCATGAAATGTGTTGAAAATGGCTTTGCCTCAAACTTTGCTATTAATACGAGTACACACTGAGATGCTGGAGACTGCTACAGTGCATGTTAGAATAACTCAAAGGGTTAACAACAAGAAACTGACGACAGGTGCTGAAAGGTTTCAGCGCATGTAGTGAATGTGTGAAAAAGTGAATCCATAACATGCAGTCATTAACAATTATTTAAAAGTAACAAGTATGAAACTACAGACAGGGGAATCGTCAGAGTAATTGCCATTTCTTCACAATGTTAATTTCACATAAATAAATTTCTGGGCATAGACAGAAACAGAAAGTCTGCTCCATGTTTCCTTACCACACGAGAGAAAAGTCTGAGTGTCTCCAGGTCCTCCAGGATGTTGCTGTTCTTGGTGGTGATGAGGACCATGTAGAGTTTCTCCAGCGGCTGGTACACATAGCGGACACTGTCTGTTTCCACAAAGGTGTGCTGCTTGCCCGTGTTCATCAGTTTAGGGAATGCGGCCAGGAGACCCTCAATGCGTGTCCGGGTCATTTCCACAAACTGCCGCGATACAATGGCCTTTCCGGCCTTGGTGCATACCGCCGCTGCCAACAGCACCTGCAGGGGAAGAGAACGTGTGACTGTTGTAGCCTCCAGTTCTTCAGTAACACACTGTACATTCATAGCTTGTTTGAGCATGCAGATCTTAATGATTTGGGAACTTAATGGTCATAGTAGGTTGAAAGTTTCCCCTTTTACTTTATCTAGGTGTAACCAGAATTCCAGTTTGCATCTTTCTAGAGAGAGGAAGTATTTCCAAGTTAAACATCAGCAAATTTAATATTTGTATTAAGACACAATTGTGTGAGAGATTAGGCAAACACATACCCATTTATCTCGCAGTTAACATTATTGGCTCACACTGCTCAAGGCCACCTACTATGTTAAGTCTTGGTGGAGGATGACTGTAGGTGTAGCTAGCAACTAAGTTAGCTGTCCAACACGACATTTTATTAAAATAATGTGTACTGCAAATACTGTACTGCCGAATTTCACAATGGGGAGAAGCGAATCAATAGACCTTAAGTAGCGTCCACGATGTGTGTATGTCTGCTAAGAAGCAAAGCAGACTTTAAATCACCACAAATTTGAACGGGGCTTGGTTCATCACGGTGAAGACAACGGCAGCTATTGTGGGCAGATACATTTCCATAGCAATAATCTCAGTACATATAAACATAGGTAAGTTAATATAAATACAGTCTATTTCACTCTGCTAAATCAATGACGGAACTGACTTTATTCCACGTTGACAATGGCTAAAGTTGAAAATTAAAAACTGCGACAACTGTGGTTAACGTTGACAGTCCAGTATATATGTTGCAGCAGCTGGCACAGCATTATGATAAAATAGATGTATACATGGGAAAGGCTTGTTTATAGACGGTATCCAGTGTTGCCTGGCTGAGAACAATATGACAGCAGGTAACGTTAGCTCGGATCCGGCTAGTGACAGGAGCTAACCCTAGCGCTAGCTTGTAAAGCTAGTTAACGTCAGCAATGTCTGTCACCCAGTGCCGCCTACCCACCCGAAATGCGACTCTGTGTAATGAAACGACGATTCATTTACTTGAGTTTACCAACTTAATAAAAGGTTAGCGCTGTCAGCGCAGTGAAAAGCAACGTTTGGGTTTCCTCTTATTTCGCTCTTGGAGAACCTAGCTAAGTGATACCTAGCTTCAGCTAGTTGCCAGCAGGTTAGCCAATGTTATGATAATTGCTAGGCCCGATAAAAGCCAGGGAGATATCTTCATTTCCGACTGTCACTCACCATTTTGGTCTCTCTCTACGGTACGCGATCTTCCGTCTCTTGCGTTTCTCGCTTTGGTGATTTCTAGTCACTCTGGAATAGCAAGGTGCGAATGTACAGTTGACTTCAAGTTGTGTGATTGTTAGCTCGCTAGCGTCAATATGGCAGCAGTACAGAGCCACGTCTCCACCGGAAGAGCAGCGCTGGATCAGCCCACCGTGGAAGCCAATGACGTGGGCCCCAAAATGTTGGCCGTGTTGCATAAGTAAGTAAAGTTGCTCGCAGGCGTTTCTTCCTCTTCTTCAGATTTCTCAAATGGAGCCAACCTTTCCACATGTCTGCCTTTCACCAGTATTTGTGTTGAATAAGCGATGGTTGTGATAAACTTCATCATAAAAATTCATCATTAGGCCACATTAGACACTTAAAACACTCAGAAATCAATTAAAACTTTTAAACATAAGCTTTTAATTTCCTTAAATATAATCGAATTAAGTGTTAATATTATTAAAATGATAAGTCTAATCTATTATCACCTTCACAACATGTATGTGCCTCTAGGTCAGGGAGTTCATTAATAATAGTATCAGGTTGGGTTACCTGGCCCTATGTGTGCACTGCAGATCTGTGACACGTGGTCCATTGAGGCAGGCACACTGTAATATACAATATCTCATAATTAGACTTTTTTTTTGCAACACAACTTTGTAAAAGTCAATGCTCACATCAATAGATATTTCACCTGTTGTAATTTAATGCAGCTTGGATTGCACCTCATTGTACCCCACAAAAGTGTCTGCCAAAGTAATTCATGTAAATGTAAACTTGTTAATTTCCTATTTTAGGGGTTTATTTAGACATCCAAAAAAAATAGTAATACATTTTATTAAGAAATATAGTATTGAACATTTAGTTCACATTTTCACTCATACTCACTGTGTCAGTAAATTACAATTTCACCCAACCCTCATTTGTATAAATGAAGGAGAACCAGCATTGCAAACCTGCCTTGAAAGTGGTTGATTACATATGTTACAAATAGGAAAGGTAAGTATATTTTTGAAGAAAAAAAAGGGAATAAATCGAAGTTCTGATTAGCCTTATGGTTGTGTCCTTCATGATATAGTAATTTCAAGCAGTTTGCACTGTTTACACAACTGTCACTTTTATTATATTTGTAGTTACTAAGTATTGATTAAAAAAAATAAAAAATCAACAAAAAGTAGCTTTTTACTCAACCACAAAATTGCAGTAAATGTTTTTGGTCACCAGATGTCATTATTTAAATTGTGGATGAAGGGTGAGGATGGAACCAGACTGTCAGCTGTATTTATTCAGTGTGAACAGGTTTTAACATGTTTCACTGTTCCTTTTCCAGGTAATATAGCATATTTAAGAAAACTAGGGACATGAGGGTCAGCTATATTCTGTGAAATTTTGTTTTCACAAAAGATTGTCTGCACCTTTCATTTTGGTAATAATGTCTAGGTGTGGTACTTGACATACAATTCCAAAGTTGATATACCAGTAGTGTTTATAATGGCCACATCATCAGGTCAGATCTGAACAAATCACACTAGCTCATCCCTCTATAGCCTACATGTTTGGCAGATCTCATCCTGAGGATCCTCAGTAAAATGTTGCACTTTCTTTTCACATAGAATGGAGAGTTTAGGACTTTACCGCAGCCCGTAAAGAAAAACAACAACCCCACACGTTACACCCGTATTGTTTGTTTCATCATGAGACTCCCCCGCGTACTGGTGCGTTCTACCTTTTTTCAGTGAACCGCAAGAGGAAACTCATAGACGGAACAAGGAAATGACCTCTAGCCGGTCCAATGATATCACAGGTTCCGCGTTCATTCATGGCGGGGCTGTATGAGAGGAGCTCTCTGACTATTTTCAAGGATTTCTAGTTTTTCAGTGTTCTCTGTGCCAAGTAAAACCTGCTGTTGATTCGTGCAATATCGGCAGAAGGTACAGGATCAACGACATGTCGGGGGAAGCAAGTTCTCCGGTAGGTTTCAACCACACTGACACATTAGTTTGCCCCCACGCGTGAAGCATCTTCAGTACTAGCTGTGGACGGCGAGCGCCATTTCCGTATGCGCCGTAATTTGAAGGCCGGTGATTGGTTGATCGTGTTGTCTGTTGCAGTATTCTGTTGTCTATTGGACGGTTAAAGGCATGACCGGTCTGTCAAACGTTGACAGCGGCTAGAAATAATAGCATATAGACTGGTTTGAGTTTAAAAATGATACCGTTTTGACCACGTAGTTGACCTGGTAGGTTAATAAAATACTATGATATAATGTAGGAATGTTTTGGCAACATGGCATAAACAAAAAACGTTAACGTACCCCAGTATCCAGTCAGAACTCCGTGTTCATGTGCTAAACTTTTCAACCCTAAATGTTAACGTTAGCCGGGGACTCCAAACACATCATGCCGGTTGAAGGTATGTTTTCATTCGGCTGTGAAATTAAGCAGAAATGGTTGCTATTTTTGCTGGTTTTATAGTCTTTAATTCCAGTTTTACGAATTAGGCAGAATTGCCTGCTCCTGCCCTCTGTGTGTCTTTCGATAAGTTACTGGTGAATAATGTATAATACGCGAAACAAACGACAAAACTAAAGTTATGAATTTTTATTAGACTGTCTACTCTGTATTTTTGAAGAGTTGTAGCTCATGTTAGCTCATGCTTTTAGGTTGTAGAAAGTCCTCTTTACAAGCAGATGTTATTTTGAGTTTGAACAAAAAAGTAATGTTTTGTATGAAGAACAAAACTGCAATGGTTCAACCACACTTGTGAGGAAAGTAGACAAATATGCATTGAGCAACAAATCAATAAGAATGTTATAAATCACCATGTCATTGGTAAAATAAATTTGAAGCTTAGCATCTGTACAGATTGATCAAGATCAAGTGCACAATAATGCCTGTAACAAGCTGGAATTAACAGGCATATTGCTTTAGCAAAGCTGTTCTGTGAAGGTTATTTAGATATGTTTCGGTCCGTAAAGCCTGATGAATGTGTAAGGACCGAAACATATCTGAATAATCTTAACTGCAAGTAAAAGGACAGCGTGTTGGAGCCTTCGCTTCTCTTCTCTATGGACATTACCTCCCACACACATGTCCTCAAGAAACAGTAGGTGTGCATTTGTTTTTACAGTCTAGTTTTAAAACTTTAAAATAGGAAGATAAGGTTGGTCTAGAGTTAGCACTAGGGGAATTGGGTCACAGAATATCAGCTGAACATACTATGGACTTACAAATCACAGTTTAAATCTATTCAGTCTAACCACTGAGTAAACTGGTTCCCAAAATATGTAGAGCCCGGATCTTGGGTCATTTATGCTTTTCTGGACTGGAAATCATTTAATTCTTCTTACATTTGGTGTCTGAATTATTCTGCTTATCTATGTTAAAATAACAAGTATTGAAGAAAAAAGCAAAACATCATTATAACAGGTGATTCTAAGGTTTTTAAAGGTATTTACTAAATAAGTTATGAAATAGTATCATTATTAAAATTCATCTCAGTATTATTGTATTAAATATTAATTGTAAAATGGTTTCATTTGAGTTATATTATATTTCATTACTGCAAAATGCCTTCAAAAACCTTTATCTTCTTTGTCTATCTGATACCTTTATTTCCCAGTGTTAAATTTCAATTCCTGCTTTTTCAACCTTCAGTCAATCATAAGCCTCATTTACCAGGCATGGAAAATTAAACAAGTGTCCATTAACACTAAATGACACACATCAACTGCAGTTTTCTATACATAAATTGTACATGTAGTGACAGTTTTTAAAGATGATTAAAAAGATAGATTAGCTCAGTTTGTACACAGTTAAATATGTTACTTGGTTTTGATAGCTTTCTGTCAAAAGAAACAAATCTGCTTTAAATGTTCATTTTAGACGTATCATTCTGTCCCAGTCTGTGGCAGCTAGCCTGATGTAGGTGGCTGATCATTCAGAAATAAAGACTTTCAGGAGAGGAAAGTTTCCAGCCACAGAACGCTCAGTATGTCAAAAACCCTGTGACCACACCTCATACACATGACTCTACATGGCTGCCCCTCCCTGCCTTTTATAACGGACTCAATGAATTGGCACACTTATCTTTTGGAACCAGAGATATCTTGGGGTGGAGGTCCTGGAGGAGGTGGGGGGAGGGAGGGGGGGAGTTTGTCCGGTAAAAAAGACCACTGTTCAGTATCTAGAGGCTATATGACCTCAGCGCGGCTCCTTACCGCGACACAGCAGGCAGTCTCGGCCACACAGCGCACACAATAGCCTCTACAGTGCAGAGGCTCAGTGCAGACACACAGAATTATGGAGGAAGGACCTTACAAGTACATCAGGGTGAGACGGGCAGAGAAAATGCTTCAGCACATTTATAAACTAGCTTTAGAGGTGGTTGTTAATGTGTTTGGGGTGACTGAAGGACGTCAGTAAAAATATCTTAAAGGGGTTTGGGAGAAAGTGAGTTTAAACTCGTGTGGCTGACTTCTCTTTTGTCCCCCGCAGGAAGGGAATGGCAAGGTTAGTCGGGTCATCCGGATTGGAACCCGTAAGAGCCAGGTACAGTACTACATTAATTCAATCATGAGCTTTGCTTTGATAATGCTTGCACAGTTTTTAAATGTCTCAGAGAATGTGGCTTTTGCATCGTTAATGGTTTCATTTTTTGTCTTTTGATTGTTTGATGTGGTTTTAGCTCTAATTAAAATGTGAACATAAGCCTTACAGAGCCTTAGTGTGCCGGTTAAATGACTTGTGTGACGTTCCTCCATGCTGGTGTAGATACAGCAGAGCAAGATGTCTGGCGCTCTTCATGCGGAGATAATATAATTCTGGCTCAACAATGTCTTTGTAAGATAACTGTTCCTCCTCCAGTCTGCCATACTGATTTGATGGACACTGGCTCTGCGGAGGGGTACTCTGACATTTTCTGTTAGTACAATCAAGCTTAAGTGAAGCGCTGCTGTGTTCCTTCTGTCCCAGTTGGCTCGCATCCAGACTGACAGTGTGGCGGACAAGCTGAAAGAACTGTACCCTGACATCCACTTGGAAATAGGTGAGAAACATCCCAGCCTTCATTTTCTGTCAAATGATCCTGTAGAGGCGTCGTAGCTGTGTCACAAAATCTTCTAACAACTGCAGCGGGCATGGATGTCTATTCTATAATTGGCTGTATTCTTTTTAGCTTTAAGTGAAAAAGTGAATAATAAACATGAAAAAACTTGTTTGGAATTTAATGGCTAGTGTTTCTCAGAATGTAATGTGTGTTGAATCAGCATATTACCTCGTGTGTTTTTATTTTTTGTTTATTTGATTTAATTACTTACACAAAAGTCAGACTCTAACAATCTGCTAGGAATTAGAGCTGGCATTATAAATCTGCCAGACTGGTAAATCGGCTGTTATTAGCTCATTGCAGAGCTCGCAGCATCTGTGTCAGCTGTCGAGTAACAAGAGACTGCAGTGAAATAGTGACATAGTTTGTCCACCAGAGACCAAGGACAAGATAATGTTTCCCTTTGTAAAATATCCAGCTTAAAAAAACAACAAACAAACCTCTAAGTGTTCAAGATCGTTGTTGATATGTCGTTATCAGGTTTTTTAAATTCCCAAATAATCATATCAGGATCTGCGGTCGGGTTATAATAGCAATACCTTTTTTGTAAGGAGACTTTTTAAAAAGCTAAACAGCCAACAGACTGATCTGATTCTGCAGAAAAACCTGTTTTAATGCCACTATGCAGCTTGTAGCCATAACTCCCACTATCTTATGTGGCTCGGCTGTCTACACTTGTGTCAGCTGAATAGCTCTCTCACTGTGGGTGTTTTTGCTAGTCTTCACTGGTTAATCATATTAATGAATCTTTGTGTCTTCTTCTCTCTTTCAGTTGCCATGTCAACGACAGGAGACAAAATCCTTGACACAGCTTTATCAAAGGTGAGGCTTGCCATGATTTTAAACAGACATGTGCGAATTATTATTTTAGAGTCTAGTTCATACTCACTTGTAGGATTAGTGTATGATTTATGATTTGATTCTTGATTATATTCAATACATGCAAATGGAAAATACATAAAGGGGTTCAGTGGGGATCTGCTACTTGCAAATGTCTTATTTTCACTGTGACAGATGAATGTAAAGTAACGATGTAACAGAAAGCCACTGTTTGTTTGTTTGTTTGCAGATTGGAGAGAAGAGTTTGTTCACCAAAGAGTTGGAGAACGCTCTGGAGAGGAACGAGTGAGTGTTACCGTTGTCGTCTGTGGCTGACACTGCACTGCCTTCACACCATTGTTTCACCGACGGACGCAAACCGTTAGGGTTTCACAGACGGGCTCACGTTTCAAGACTTTCGTTTTGTAGCTGTCAGTCACATTTTGCGCCAATACTCGATAAGTATGGCTGTTAAGCAGAAGCACCTCTGGCAGATGTCTGACTTTGAATAAAATGTATTTATCACTCACTGTTATTCACTAGGCCTTTTTTTCCACTCCTCCACATACTCTCAAACATCCACAAGAGCATCCTCTGTATGCTTCACATAAAATCAATGCAGAGGGAAACGCTTTGATTTCTTCCACAGCCTCAGATGTAGCAGGTGGCTCTGTTCTGTAGCCGCCTTGAAGATGGAAAACATACACGACGCTGAATGGCTGTATTATATACCATGAGACATAATGGAGCATGTATATATGTATATATGACTGTGTTATTGTGTGTCCCACAGGGTTGATCTGGTTGTTCACTCACTGAAAGACCTTCCCACCACTCTGCCTCCAGGGTTCACCATCGGGTCTGTGCTGAAGTGAGTGCACCCACACAAGTAGTGTCTGTATAAATTCCCACTGTATCATGTTGGGATACGTTTTGCTGCTATAAAGGGGGCAGATCACAAACTAGGTGGAGCTGTAGCTTAAGACAATTTAATTTCAGGTTCTGGGTCAATTTTCTTTAAGGGACACTTTAGATTTTTGTCAGAATTGCCCCTTTAAATTTACCCTGTTGAGTTTCTGACCACTAGTGGCATTATGGAGCCACTATTTGCTAAGCGGGCTGGCATTTTGCCTGTACTCCACTAGCATTCGCACAGGGACACAGATGTACGCTTACAAGCAGGAGCACACGGGGGACACATCCTGCCCACAGTTTCATGCAACTATAAAAACGCAGCAATGCACTAGCAAAAGGCAGGAAAAAAACACTGCAAGCTAGCAAACATGCATATATACCATTTAAATAATATTACATTTAATGGACATGTATTGAATACACTCGGGCCTTTAAAGTTATACACAGTGTGCTTTGGGAAAACCTAACTGTACATAATGAGTTGTATTGATTGTAAAAACAGTTTTTAAAAAAAACTATTTTGTGTTTGTATTAGTTTGTGTGTGTATGTATGTATATGTATATATATAAAAAGACAAAGTACACATTGGTGGAAAAGTATTTGGGGGACAGGAAAGGTATGATGAGTTGTGACAAAGTCCCAGCCTGATGAGAACATTGTGTAAAACCACATCAGGAGGCCTTTATTGTTTCTTACATGCCACTGTCACTGAAGCGGAGCTGAGCAGATAGCGGCAGATCAACTCTGCCTTTGTAAGAACAGATCCTATTGGTCCTTAGAGGCGCCCAGTTCAAGTCACATATTACTTATTGTTGCATTCTGCAGATCATAGTATTTTTTTGTGTTATCTTACCAGCTTTAACCACCAACAATCCTATCCTTCCTGTGGCTTTTAGGAGAGAAAACCCCCACGATGCTGTGGTTTTACACCCCAAAAATGTCGGGAAAACTCTCGATACTCTGCCAGAAAACAGGTACAGTCAAGTAGATAATATAACCAGTTGTGTTTGTTTTTCACTCTTAACAAAAGAATGGATAGCTTGACTTCATTCTGTGTGTTTGTGTAGTGTGATCGGCACCAGTTCACTGCGGCGTGCTGCTCAGCTGAAGAAGAGATTCCCCCACCTGGACTTTAAAGATATTGTATCCTTTTAGTAGGAACATGTCAGACCATAATAATAGCATAAAAAGATTTTACAGGTTTAAGAAGGCGTCTGCTCTCAGGGGAGGGTGCTAGCATGCCGGAGTGGATATTTGTCTCTGGAGTATTTTCCTCAGCTGTCGTCTCTAGCGCGGGAACCTGAACACGCGTCTGAAGAAGCTGGACGAAAAGGAGGACTTCGCTGCCATCATCCTGGCTGCTGCCGGCCTCAGGAGAATGGGCTGGGAGAACCGCATCAGCCAGGTACAGTTCATGATCATGTGAAGTCCCTCGCCTGTGAAGTCTCTGGCAGACATTTCTCATCTAACACTCAAACGGTCTGATTCTTTCCACTGGTAGATCCTGGGCCCTGAAGACTGTATGTACGCTGTTGGACAGGTGAGAACAGAGCGATGGAAAATATAACACAAGGCTAACACACAGAAGAGAAGGCTCAATTATAACTAACAACACGTGTATGTGTGTGTGTGTGGGGTCAGGGGGCGCTGGCAGTGGAGGTCCGGGCCAGAGACGCAGACATCCTGGAGATGGTGTCTGTCCTCCATGATCCAGACACTGTGCTGCGCTGCATAGCTGAGAGAGCCTTCCTCAGACACCTGGTATACACACACACACTGACACATTGACCCTCATGAATGAAGATAGAAGTCCCCATGTATTCAATCTAACTGTCATTTGTAGGAGGGTGGGTGCAGTGTTCCAGTGGCCGTACACACCCAGGTGAAGGACTCCCAGGTAAGACTGCTATGTAGAGGCAGACATACACACATTTAGCATGCATACAGTTGGCCATTCACTAAGGCCCCATCTACACTTTTTACACACAGGTTAACAAATACGATCTCAATCCACACCAGCGTTATAGCTGCATATTTTAGCTGCGTATCAGAACTGATTAAAACGACTGGAAACGCACCTCTAGTGGCCGTACACTGGGCATGCGGTGTAAACATGAAGCAGATGGTTTGGTCCGTAGTTTTAGAACATTTGGGGGAAAAATAAAGAAATACAGAACCACACCGTATTTTATTTGCTGGGACTGTTACTGAATGTAACACGGGAGGTAAAAGCAGCTGTGGCGGCGGAAAACAGCCTGGGAGTTGTTGCAAACTAAAGGGCGACATGCACAGTACAAGTGTAGGTGTTGCATCGTGAGACCCAATCAGAGAGCCAAGCGGGGGCGTCTGTGTCATCATTTCTAAAGTCCTCTGTTTTTGTGCGTATCAATAAAACGTTACCCCGAGTTTTAAAATGAAAAACGGGGTCGGCAATGTTTTCAAACTGCTCTGTTTTAGGTCTTTGTTTTGGCCGTTTCACCGTGATGATGGTGGCAGGTTTGTCGCTCACAATTCTTAGTAAAGTTTCAGACCGAGGTAGTCAGAAGCAGGCTTCTCAGGATACGCTAACTGGTCCCATGTTAAAGGTCAGCGTCCTCACCAGGTTTGCTCCATGGAGAAGACATAGGAATAAAGAAACAGCGTTGTTCTTATATTGCAGTGTAGAGTTAGTTAGACTCTGTTTAATACAGTATGTATTGGGAACCTAGACCAGTTCCCACACTGCGGGGGAATCCCACAAATCACTGTTTGAGTCTCTATCAAGGCTTTTTCTAACCTGTACCCCACAAAATGATCTAGTTAGCTTTACTAGCTTTGGAAGTAAACACCCGTCCCTTGCACCTTTTCTCTTTAGATTTAGTTTTTGGGACAGAGAAAAGAAATGCTGTAATGCTCCGTGCACACCACGTCAACATGTTGAGAAATCTTGACAGCCAAGTTACTGTTACCAAGCCATGATCGGACGAATCGCTGTTCGGTGGTAGGGTTTAGCAAGTGGTCAGTTACATCATCAAGTGTTTGAAAAAGCACATATTTAAATTCAGATCATCATTTATGCCCATTTGATAAAAAAAAAGCCAACCTCACTGTAAATCTGGCTTCAGGCTGTACCTCATCTTGACCAGGCTGGGTGAATAATAATTTGCGAAAGTGCAAAAAGGTTGATGGTGAAACTCTTATGTCTTCCCAGCTCTACCTGACGGGGGCAGTGTACAGCCTGGATGGATCTGACAGTCTGAAGGAAACCATGCAGACTAGCATTGCTGCTGATGACAGGGTGAGGGTACGGTGTTTTGACCAGTGGTCACACTGATGACTAGAGGAAAAACAGATGTGTGTGTGAAGCTGTGTGTTTTTTGTTTGTGTGCCGGCCCACACCAAACTTTATATTGTTAATGTGCGTGACAGAGCCTAGAAGAGGTGGACGAGCAGGTCCAGCGAGTGGGAGTCACAGCCAGCAAGGTCTCCGGTGGAGCCCAGGACCGGGCTGAACGGCTGGGGGTCGACCTGGCCAAGTTACTGCTGAGCAAAGGAGCCAAGGAGATCCTGACGGTGGCCAGGCAGCTCAACGACGCCAGATAATGCTGCCGGGCTGAGGGGCAGGGCTCCGGGAGTCGGTCACAGCCTTGTGTCGAGCAAAACCTAGAATTCCTTTTTTTATGTTACATATTTGCAGAAAAACTGAGGATTTTAAACACTACTTGGACCAAAGCAGTGCTCAGTGTGATACGGTGCTGCTAAACTGACAAGAAACATTATCAGCTTGTTCAGGGTCATTGCAATCTGTAGTGCTCTTGGTCTTGGTCCCAGCCTGTTCTTACGTACAGTACCTCATGGAACCATCTCCTGAGCTATGTAGAAACCGCCTTACTGGGATTATCAGTGAAACACAAAAAGGCCTTCACACGTTGTCGCAGCGCTTACAGTACCAACACGGTCAGACATCCTAGTGGTTTAATCCTTTTTTGTTTTTTGAAGCATTTCAAGATAGTGTGAGTATCAATATATTAAATAAAATGCCATTCATATTCCCCCCCCCCACATCCATTATTCTTCCCCAGAGACAGGGGAAAAAAAGAAATTAGCACAGAGTTCCTCTCTTGGCTCTTAGCTGCATTCTCATTAGAAAATCTGACAGTTGATGGTACCAAAGATGAGTTTCCAAGCACGTGGGCACATTTTTTCAGTTTGTAGCAGGCAACACTGCTTTGAAATGGGGCTCATTTAGGTGTGAATATTGAGAAATGGACATGGAAAGTTCTATTGCAAAGAGGTCACCTATTGTACTTGATCAGACCTTATCCATTGGAGTAATTGGCATTAATAGTGTAGTGTTTTATCACGTTGGCCTCCTGAAAAACAAAAGTACCTTTTCTGCATAAACTACATTCAGCTCTTGTTGGATGGAGCATCTTCAGCTGAGGATGTTTGCTGCTTTTAAGATTGTGCTGGCTGCCTCTTTTACAGAGAGAGAGAATATATTTAATAAACTAAATATGATAAGCTGGAGGGATTGTTTTGTTTTACCCCACCGAGTTTGGACAGCTTTGTACTGAACATATATGACGAACAGTTCCGCTACATGACTGGAGATTACTTGTTTAACACTGGAGCAATATCACTACACATACAGCGCCACGTTAAAAATCTACTGTGAGCTTATATTTTTAAATACGGCGTAAATGCAAAAGTTGTGGATTTACAATAGTATAAAGTGTTTAAAGAGTAAAGGGTACAGTTGAAAACCTGCTCATTGGATTTCATGAACTGGCTTTAGGGGCAGTCACATGTTAGAGATGTATAGTAGCCAACACAACAGACCTTTTATTTGATTTTTTTTTTTGATCCACAACAGTGTTTAACTGCTGCATTGCCACACTGGCTCAAACCTTGGCCTTTTTGGACTCATCCATGTAGATGGTGTTTGTATGTTGTGGTTCTACCGAAGCACCTCTGCATCCAACAAAGCACAAATTAGAGAACTTAATTATGACTTCTGTGTCATATTTATAACGTAGTTTTCCTGTGATTACGAGTAAATGATAACTGCTTATTATTAGGAGATTGTTATCTCCTAATTATGGAGTTTGAGATGTGGAAATGCTAATTATGAGAGGCTAAGTCATAATTAAGAGATCCAGAATATATCCTTTGGTGAATGCAATGCACACCTGTGTAGTTCCTCCACAGCTTTTCAACATTTTATCAGTTTGTATTTGCTGTAATGTTGTCATGCGAGATGCTGTACTCCACATATCAAAACTGAAGAGTTTCCAAAAGCAATAGATTTTCAAACTTGACTTGGCTAATGAAATAAACAAGTCTTGAATGCCATTATTTGTTTTTCTATAGTTTCTGTTACAGTGCCATCTCTGTAAATTATTTCTGCCCAAGTAAACTGCATATTTGCCTTACATAGAACAATGCCTGTTTTTATTTGATAAAGTACAGTAGATCTTCATCAGTGTACCCACTGTACCGTTAGTGTGATACCATATTGTATTTCTTTTGTTTTATAGGTGTTTATTGTATGTTACACTTAATTTAAACCTCCTGGGACAATGTAAGGTAACGTTAGCCATATTTGTTTTTCAGCTTTAATTTCTCTACGGATTAACGTAGAAATCTGTTTTTAGATTCTTTATCGCAGTACTTGTTGCATCTATCCATTAATGACAAATAATTTACGTCCTGAAGTGTCTTTGTTTTGCCACTTATGTGAACATTATGTCAAATCAAAATGTCAAGAAACAAATTTCAATAAAAGCTGTGTGTTATAGCTGTCCAGTTTTTATGTGTCTTTCATGTACTCGTGGACAGCGTCAATATCGCACACCCCTAGGTCAACCAACATTGCCATAGTTTGAACCTGAATTACTGTATTACTCGACCACAATGTAATGAAAAATAATGCACGACAGATTATTTTATTTTTTGACCAAATAAGCTCATAAGTAAATCATGACAGGAGCTGGCCAGATGCTAAGCAGATCTGCTAAGATGGTACAAAACCCTGTTTTCATCTACAACTCGTGAGCAGGATCCTTGGTCATAACTGTAGACACTTCCAGCAGCTTTTCCTCCTCAGATCCCCTCATCCAGTCAAACTGCAGTCTTCCATACAGAGTCTTACCGCAGGGGATCAAAGGGAAGAAGCTGTGTTGGGAGGCCATTGGAATCACATAGTGAAAGTCTAAGGGGTCCAGCTCTAGGGTGTTTTTCATCTGAATCTTTTGAACCACCCTCTGATGTCCTTCTGCCTGGCCAGGCTGCAGTGGGGGGATGGTTACAGCAAGTTGTCTTGCGTTGGAAGACCCGGCCAGATGATCTGCAGTGGCCAACCTTGCTCCCCGTGAAGAACAGAAACCTTGGGGAGAAATAACTCTGTACAGGGACTTCCTCCACTCAGGTATGGACTCGTGGCCTCTTTGGTCTTTGATGGGAAGGATAGTTTGTGCAAGTTGTGCAGAGCAATCAGGACTCCCCAGGTTCAGATTGAGCCCCGCACTATTAGTCTGTACGTTGGAGCGTGTCGCCATAGAAGCAGGGCTGCGCTCAGCTGTGGTGGCGAGGTTTCGAAGGTGTGATGAGTTCATGTTGGTGACTTTGATCTTCTTGTAGAGCTTCAAGACTTTTTGATCCAGGGGCACTGGGGCTTGGTCTCTGATGTTGCTGTATTTGGTGGAAGACAAGAGGAACCTTTTATCTCTGATTGGTGAGCATTTAGGAGGCCCAAGGTCTGGTTGGGGTTGTGGTTCCTCTGAGCTCGGAGAGGGAGGAGGAGTCAAGGTTTTGATCTCTACAGGTGGTATGTACGACGTTACCCTGGGTCCTGAAGAGGCACATGTAACGCAAACAATATTAACTCTCAAGAAAGGTTATTTAAAGGGGACCTATTGTGCTCACTTCCAGCTCTACATTGTACTTCTGACATTCCACTAGAGTACATTTGCATGATTCACAATTCCAAAATATCCTTATTTATCTTATACTGACTCCCAGTTTATCCTCTGAAACATGCCATTTTTGCTCCTGACTCTTAAGCCAACTTTATCCTGATTGGCCAACTTCCTGAAGCCTGCCCATTGGCTTGTGAACCGCTGTAACCTGGGGCAAGTTCAATCTCAAAACATTTGCACCGGTTTGCAACTTTTTCGGATTGAATGGCATGTTTTGTCGGTGGTGAACTCGCCCCTGTCCCAGTTTATGACTCATTCAGCTGGTCAGGACTACTACTTGTGAGTAACTTAAGCGGTCGAATAAGTTGGACATCCCACTATGACTTGTTATTTATCCACACCCATCTACTTTTGTGTATGACATTTGCTTTTTGTGTGTAGCATAAAAGGAACTACAACTTCAGCTCGTTACACAACCCTGTGTTGTAAACTTCTAAATAAATCTACCTCGTACTTCATAACAATTCTGTTTGAATGAGTGGCTCTTGCGTGAGGCCTAATGCCTTCATGCACTGAATGAATATATATACAGTTTGTAGTCTTGATGAATGTAACCTTGCTTTGGGATGATGGTATCTGCAGACACCACAAGACTTTCCACCGGAGGCTCCGACCACTCTATAGAAATGGAAAATATATTGCAAAATGAAAAAGGGAACAAGTTTTTTCACTTGCACAGGCCAAGATAAGAATTTCAAATGCCATGCCCAACGTCATTTGCTTTTACCTTTACAAACGAAACTGGATGTTCTCTGTTTATTGGGCACAGGGAGATATTGGTGTGGGGCTGTGATGCTTTCGTGAAGCTTTATGTCTTCCCTTGGCTCTCTCAGTTGTTTAAGTCCATTTTCGTGACAAGATATTGGTCTAGATAATGTTTTTTTTAAATTCATAGTTTATTATGGAGAGTTATAACCTGAATAAGAAGTTCTGAATAATTTAGTTTTAACACTTACGTAAAGTCCACAGTCTTTCTTGAACTTTCTTGAAAGTAAGACGAATCTAATTCCTGCCTCTGGGGCGTCACAGTAGTGTTTTCGTCATCAAATGTTTTCAGATGGTCCTGCAAGGTAGTCTTGGTCTGGATGTTGTAGGACCGCTTCACAAGGACAGTTCTATCCATCTTGTCCTCCTTTCCTTTCTCCTCATCTGCCCTTTCCTTTCCTTCCACCTTTTTTTCTTCCCTGTGTTTCTGTTTTTTGTCATCTTCTTTTTCTTTTGTCTTTCTTTTCACACTGTCTGTCGTTTCTTCCTCTTCCTCTTCCTCTTCCTCATCACTTTCTATTAACCAGAATGTTCTTGTGCTTAAGTCACTCTGATCATTTGTGTGTTCATCCTCCTGATGAAGACTATGAAAGATGATGTCATGCCAGCAGTCAATTTCACTTCTTTCAAGTTCCGTTTCCTTCCTCCCCCAACTCCGGATCACAGAGTTGGGGATATAGCCATCCGGAGCTATGGGCCATTTCAGAGGCTCTGCGCTCACATCAACAGTTTGAGACATGATGTGATATTCGGCCCTTATCATCAGCTTAAGCTCCAGCCTGTTGTACCAGTCTGACCCAGCATTTAGCTGTAACTGCATAAGAGTTAGATAGTAGTTAAAGAGGAAAGAAGAGTTTGGTGTTTTGGAAAATAATCTTATTTGCTTTCTTTTTGGGAGTTAGATAAATATGAAGCTACAGCCAGCAGATGGTTAGCTTAGCAGCTAGAAACAGCTAGCCTGACCCTGTCCAAAGAAAAAAATCTGCACCTTTAAATCTTACACATCATATTTCTTTTTTGTTTAACAGTGCAGTACAGTGAAAGTGTGACAATCACACATTCAGGTTTTATGGGGGTTACGCAGAACGGGGCAATTTCTTGCTCTGGCTTGGCGCAGTTTTGTTAACATTAGACAGAAGCTAAGCGAAATGGATGCTGATCATGACAAACACATGATTTGTAACTCACCTGCATGACCTTCTTATGTGCCTAACAGTTTGCCATTCCTCTTCTTAGCAAGTACTTCCTGCAGGTTTTTGGTACCTGCTGAAAGCCTTGTTTCTGAGGACAGGCCTCCCTTTTTTTTTTTTTTTTTTAAATGTAAACCTTTTAAATTAGAATTTTTACAAACAGTTAACAAAATGGAACTCACAGGGTTACCATTCCACAAAGATAGCAACAAGGGTTTGTATGATCGAGGTAGTACACAAATAATATGTTATGAAAGGAAATAAAAACAAAAGAAAATGTCATGTGTCATTTGTCCATGTAAGAGTTCAGGTAAGACACAAAGAAAGGAAGTTTCAGTTTCACAAATTAGCTTGCGTTGAATTGTGCTAATAAAGAAAAAAGATTTACATACAGTGCTGTGCAGGCATGGAAAAATGCTGTAATGTAAGAATGCTTTCAAAATCGACGTGTCAGTAGATTCGATTTATTAATTAAAATGCAAAGTAAGTGGACAGAAGAAAAATCTAAGGCATATCGTCATGTGGATGATTAAACATTTATACCAAACAAATGCTAATGATCACCAATTAAATATGTAGGTTGGTCATTAACTGAAACAGAAACAGCTGTGTATTAGGAATCCAACTGGGTGAGGGACCAAACTCAGCCAACAAGCTGAGGCTGCTGAGGTTTACTGTCAAAAGTCATACACCATGGCAAGACTAAGTGCAGCAACAAGACACAAGGTTGTTATACTGCATCAGCAAGGTCTCTCCCAGGCAGACATTTCAAGGCAGACAGGGGTTTCCAGATGTGCTGTCCAAGATCTTTTGATAAAGCACAAAGAAACGGGCACTGTTTGGGACCGTGGACTCAGTGGTCGGCCAAAGAAACATACTGCAGCAGACACACATTATGGTCCCTTCCCTCATCAGTTGGAAGATGTCCAGCGGTGCCATCAGCTCAGAACTGGAAGAAAACAGTGAGACCCTGGTACACCTGGACCAAAGTGGTCTTCATGGGAAACTTGGGGCCAAAAAGCCTCTGACATGGAAACAAGGCCGAGCAACTCAACTATGTACAGAAACACGGAACCTGGGGTGCAGAAATATGGACTTACGAGTCAAAATGTAAAATATTTGGCCGTAGCAGAAGGCACTTTGTTCACTGAAGGGCTGGAGAGTGGAACAAGAATGAGGGTCTGCAGGCAGCAGTGAAGCACAAAAAAAGGTGAGGCCAAAGCAACCTGTATTTGACAATAACCGATGACCCTAACTGAAATTCACATTTAGAAGTTTAAAACCTGAGTAGCTGAAAGCTTATTTATTAGCTTAGTTGTGTTTGAGAGAGTTGTTTTAGCTGCCAGCTTCCTCAGAAAAATGAAAAATTTTGCTAAAATGTGCATTTGTTTTTACCAAATCCTAATAAATCAAGTGCTTAAAACATTTGTGCCCTATGGAGTCAGAGGCTATTATCTAATTGCTAAATCTGAGTAGTCTGACACATCAGGAATGAGTTTTATTATTTGTTATGGTCCTTCAAAGGGATTCATCAATAATGTTGCTTTGGCTTTCTTTAACAGACATAGTGTTATGATTTTTGCAATCATTGCTCTGCAGTGATATCAGACGCCAAATATCCAACATTAAAACATCTTTCTTGAGTTTTGGGATTAGACTGATTAATGTCTTTAATATTAAAATATATTATACAATATTTGGAAGATTTAAAATGTCAACATAGAAACAAATCAGACAAAGAAATGAAAGGAAAATTATTTTTTGTAGGTCATAATATATTATAATTTTTGTTCTAATCCATTTTAGTAGAGATGTCTGAAAGATCTGAATGTTGTCTAATGAATTCAGCTGCAAGACTTCAGTGTGCTTCCTGACAGACAGGTTCAGTTGTGTCTGATCCACAGGCATTAACAAAGGTGGCGGGGCACCCTGCCTCTCTCACACCTTCAGTGCCCATGGGCCCCTGAGGAAGCATTCAAGCCTGAGGCAGCAAAGACATGGATATACAGCTAGACTGAAACATGTCTGTTATTTGGGTCTGGACGTATCCTACTTTTTAATCAATATGACAGAATATTTCAATTTATTGCAGATAAACAATCTTGCATATTCGTTTCTTGTAACAAATGAGAAAGTGACCAGCAGAAGTGGGATTAAATGCAGTTTCAGAGCCAAAAGAGGTGGCTCTTATTGCTGAGCTGAGCCAATGTCAATCCTATCATTATCCTAGTGATTATTTTGCAGAGAAGCCTAGTAATCCTCGCCCACTGTAGGAAATGGAAAGGAACGGAGCCATGTTTCCCTTCACTGGACTCCAAGAAAAATGAGTCATGCCTTGCACCAGCAACTCTTGTCTTCTGCCAAAAAAGGATATAGAAGGTCTAAAAAGACAAAGAGTCAAGACAATAGGAGCTGTTCCCCATAAGAGAGCCATGCTATCTTGAGTCCCAGCCAGCATAGGGTCCACCCCTCGGAGTAGCTGCAGGGTCACTAAACATCCTGAACAGCTTCGGCAACTATACGGAGGGGCAGGAGTGGCGATGGCACACACGAGTGTGGTCATCCAACAGGAACAGGTTCTGTACTGATCCAGAATTACTGTGATGCAACAAAGAGGGTGCTTTAATTGCTGAATTAAAGCATGAAAAGTACCTGGTGAATGTTACTGATGTGTGTTATTTCAGAACCACTGTGACTTTGAAAACCTTCACTCACTGATTTCAACACGTTACAAATGTTCAGTGTATATTGTGTATTGATGAGCATGTATGTTTTGAGAGGGAGTGTGTATTGGCACACTGTGATGAATTTATTTGAATTGTTTTTTTGAAAGAAAAAAAAAAGAGCAAGTGTAATGTATTAATTCAAGGAAGAAGCTTTTGCTTCAACTGTGCAACTGCATGTGACATCTTAGTTTAACAGGTTCAGGTCGAACCAGCTGCTGGTCTGATAACATCAATCCCAAGTTGAATGTGTCCTTCCAGTGGTCTGGTTGGATGGATTTGTTGTTGAAACCAAAAACATAATCAAAGATTTATGAATAACCAGATGGTGATTCACTAGATTCACTGGATAATGACTGAGGACAAAGTATAACCTCAGTTAAACTTAATTTTTGCCACTTTGCAAAAGAAATGAAAAATCAAGCCTTGAAATAAATTGCAATTCCGTTTTCAAATTAAATCACAAATTCTAAATTGAAGCTATGTTTATTAATGCAAACAGTTTTACTGAAGCCCAGTGTCTGCTTCCTATTAAATATAGGATGAAATAATGGGTAAAAATAATTTCTACTGTGTCTCTAGAAGCAGTGCAGTAAACTGCAGCAGTGTCAAGTGGATGGAAATCATGTTCACTGCTCTCATTGTTTACCTTGTTTATTTACCACCATTGTGCTTTTAATGTGTAATTAAATTTAAAGAAGCAGCCTATTGCTGGAAACGTATTTCAAAAATGTCAAGATAAAGATTCTTGTATTGACTGGACGACAATAACTTTTTAATATTATCCAATCCTCCTGAACTAAAAAACACCAGTAAGTTCTCGCTGCTCAGCTCTGCTTCCCTGCAGCTTTCATTCTGGAGACGCTCACGCAACAAAACACAGAGAAGGATGTAGAATTTTATTGGATTTGTGGTACTTTACAGTACTTGCAGCGTAGGTGCAAACCAAACGGATAAATAGTAACTTTGCACACCTGTTGTTTTACATTGATGTTGCTAGAAAAGGATGCTTTTATTTCATGTTCAGTCACAACAAAACCAAACTGCAAGTGAACACGGTCTCCACAAATCATAGAATGACATGTTCCTTACCTTCCCGCCCGAGCCCACAGAGTATTCTATGTATGAAAATATCAGAGCTGTTTGAAAAGGACAGCCTTTTCTGTATAACTCAATGCTTCACAAACAAAAGAACGACATTCAACACGAAAATCAAATTCCACTTCATCTTAAATCGCAAATCAAATATTAATAATAATATGCTGTACATGTTTGGTGATATGTTCAGACAATAAATAAAAAAACACAGGATCAACACGGCTTATTCCTCTATGTTTCTTTCACATGGCTTTCTTCTTCTTCTGGTGTTTCACTCTACAAACAATCTTTCTAGAAACACAGGGTCTGTAGCTCTTTAATAGAAGATATGCTGCTCCTGTATGTGTGAGGAAAATTTAAGGACATTTAATTAAAAAGAGAAGACCTTTCACATTTCTGTAGTAGCAGAGTATTTCTTCCCAGCCTCTGTATCATTGCCTCCCTGTGTCAGCGAAGCATTTGCGACAGTTGCACAGTGTTTCTGGTAATGGTTTGCAGATCAGAGGAAGAAACAGAACAATGGTAAGATGGTTGTTGATGCACCTTTTAAGATGGACTACATGGACATAAGCATTAAATCACATTTGTCATGTTTTCCAAGTATTGTATTGTATTTTTTTCTGAATGAATTTGTAGATGAGGATCCTAAAAGGGCGATGTTTCCCAGTTTAGATTTCCAAACTGGCCAATTTTCAATAATGTGTCAGTGAGGAGAGCCGCTTAAGCGTGATGCAGTCACTATAGAGTATGGGTGTGTTCACAGTAGAGTTTGACCTTTTTAATATATTAATGGAGTTTCCTTATGAACAAACAAGTTACTTACAGTCAGTGTAACTCATCAGAATACACTGTATCAGATTGATCCAAAGAAGTTTCAAATCGAGGCAACATTTCGCCTGTGGGGTTGTTTTCAAGGTGATGAACCCTGATTGGTTCCATCACCTTGATAACGACCCCACAGAGGTTAAATGGCTGGGACTCCCTAACGTCAAGTCACAACTGAAGAAGCCTCTTGGATGAGGGTGAAAGGATCTTCAGCCAAGTCCAGTTGCCCTTGATTTTAACCTTCTATGGACCGTGTGTCCTTGAGCTCTTAGAAACCCGCTGAATGCAGTTCCTTCCTAATTAAGTATTTTTTATCCTGCATCGTTTAAATCCATGTTTCCTAGCTTGTGTGCCTGATCCAAACAAAACTGGGACCCACTCATAGAACAGCTCGGTAAGGCTACTAGAGGTCAAAAACTCGAAAAAATAGCGGAAAGTAGACTAGGTTATCTTATAAAAGCATAAAAAGAGGAAGCAGGGGGAAACAGCTACCCTGGTTCACTCAAAAACTCAGCCTAATAACTTCCTGGAGTCTTGTGCACAGATTAAACAAACAAAAGAAAACATGTTAATTATCAAAATGTTGAGGTGCTGGTAGGCGTATTTTGGGACCTGGGACAGATCCAAGTTAGCTAAACTAAGCCAATCACCTGCTAGCTTGAGCTTAAGAGCTCTCGGCAAGAAAGTAAAGCTTTTCCTGTCCTCTCACATTCCTGGCAGAACTGGAAGAAGTGGAACATGGTTTAAAGTTTGAACACAGTACTGTGCCACTTTGTGACTCAGTGTGGATTAATCACAGCAGAACCTCACACAACATATTTCTGAAAGTCACAGGCTTCTGAATGTCATTACTTTTAACAACCACGACATCTGAATGCAGTGTCAAAGTCTACTCCTCACTACTAAGAACAGATGAAGTAAAACTGAATTATTTATTTATTTATCACCGCAATGTCACAGAGTTTTTAGTGAGTTTTTGTACTTGGTCTTGAATTGTGGCGTTGCAATAAAAATGGGACACAGCTTGTATTTCACAATTTTACAACTTTGTTTATGACAGATGTTGGTTTAAGTTGACCAGACGGGCGTTGTCTTTCAGCGGAATATCTCGCTGAACACAAATGAAACGTGGCTTGAATGCTAAAAGGTAGTGAGTTTCCCCCATATGGCTTTAGAGAGAACCTGATGTCAGAGACAGGACAGATAATAAAGTTTGAAACATGCAGCTTTTCTGACGTCTTAATTAGCTACATGTTACGATGTGTGTCAAGCCTGAGCCTGAGTGAGCTTCCCATTTCTCTTTACAACCGACGTGGCCGACAACTTCTTCTTCTGTAGCGGGGAACGGGCAGTTACCACATCAGGAGACACCACTTTAATTCCACGAGGCACTCACAACAACACAGTCACTCAATCAATGGAACAGTTTTCAAAGCTGCATATACGTGTGTCTTCAATGCAGTCAGCACCTGAGATACAGAGCATAAATACTTGCATGCTGTTAAAAGTGATGATCCTCTTTTTTAAAATATTTTTTGCTTCTAACATATGAAAGAAATGTTAATAAATAAATAAAAATGCAACTGGAAGACATTTCTCAAAATATGATTATTTACAGCTACTCTGAACCCTTGAACAACAACAAACGCACACTAAACATGTGCTGGACCAGAATCAAGAAGCTACTGTATGATTGTCAATAGTGCAGGTTGTGCTGTTATAGTTGCGGCTGTTATAGTTGTACACACATGAATGGTAGAAGACACTGCTGTACTGGATCTGCTACATGTGGTGCCAAAATAGAGACAACATGTGGGGCCACATTATGTGGGTAGCATCAGGAACTTGAAGCCAGACTGAAGCCAGTGCTGATATGTTTTCCCTCAAGCCACTGAAGTAGGGCAAGCAGGACAAAAGACCAACACCTCTTTTTTAAACAATCCATACCATCTGTTTTGAAAGTCAACAGCCCATCTTCACATGTGCGGGGGAGTGGAAATGTTGCTGTTATCTGTGCAGGAGAGCAGTACTGTTTTGATAAAACACTGTCATCACAAATTCTCAACAGTCTCGTTACATTCTGTGAAATATGCACAAACACAAATCAGATATTGTGGACACAGAGAAGAACACACATTTAGTTACTGACCCCTCCACCAGTGCGTCAAGGCTTACACTGTCCTGGCATAGAAGCTATGTTAGCATGTCAACATGCAAAATGTTTCATGCTTGCGTGATGACATGCTAATACAACCTAGGGCTGGGCAATCACACAATATTGATATTTATCACGATATAATTACTCTCAATAACAATACAACAAATGTTTGATTTAATTCATTTGAATGACGAACAAATTAGCACTTAATTTTTCTGTTAAGATATTCATTTTGTTGAGGAAAAGATTTTACTGGATGTGCTACATCATGCATATTTGTTGAAAAAAAGATTTGATCATAATTGCTTTGAATGTTCTCCCTCAGATTTGTGAAAGGATGCGTTTGTCATGTTCTGACCGTAAAGAAGAGTTTAAAACCACAATTAACCATCTGGTTTCTTCGGCTTCACTCAGGAGCAAAAATCAGCCTTTAAACTTGAAGGAAATATTGGTTTTGACATTTATCCTGATAATTATTGGTATCAAATGATTTTTTTTTTTCATGAAAACATTTCTTCCCATGTCGCCCAGCCCTAGCTACACCTAATGCAAACACTAGCCAGTTTAGGCAAGTAAACCAATGTTTGCTGAGTTCAGGGTTATCCAGCTAATATTTAGGGAATAAAAACTTTTTTGTTTAGCAAAGTACAGACATTTTTCTGCTTTACTGATGGGTTACAAATAAAACCTGAGTCAGCTGGGCTGAAAATAAAAGGTAGCTAAAATCTCCACCTGTCACACTTTTGCTTTCAATGCATTACTTCAGTGTCACTCTACTACTGTAGTTGTAGTATTCATTCATGCTGGTGAAAAAATATTTTTCTTGCTAATCATGCACAGAGCAAACTGTTATAACACATGATAATTTCACCAAATGTTCTGAGACTGCGATGACATAATCCAGTTTGGTTTCAGTGAGCGCTCTCCCACACAGTGCAGCTGACCCCCACACTGCCCAAATTCACGTCTCCCTCAGGTTGGCCGGAGTTTGGATCAGGAAGATGTCACGCTTGCAGAAGTGCCTCCCTCCAGTCAAAGCTGTGGTTTGGTCCATGTGTGAGGGGGAGGATGGGAGGGTCCACCAACTGCCACACCCCAGTGTCTCCCTGCTCCTCACAGGAGCAGAAGCCCAGGTAGGGGATCTAAGGATCAAGCAGAGGTCTTAACAAAAAACGAAAAAGAAATTCATGGAAATGACTTGCTTTTTGGATGAGAGCAGGTTCAAGTTGAGCTGCTGGCTCATTTGACATTTTGCACTCTGCAGACATCTTGTGGCATGAACAATAACTTTGTTTCATTTGAAAACAAAGGTAGAGGGTTGTTAAATTTCAATGTCATCAAGTCTAGGTTACTTTTCTGGAATGGATTTAGTTTTGGTGTGCAGTTTAAATTCTTCTAAATGCGGCCATTATAATTAATGCATTTCTCCCAGAATTGAATCCATACAGATTTAAATTTCTTTGGTTTAAACTGCCCAACACTAACAACACTATTAAAGAGGCCCTTCTGTATAATGAGTCAGTTTTGCTGCTTTAAGTATATAGCTGATAATACATCTGTACAACACGCAACAATGAAACAGACAAGAGGAAACAATGTTGGTTCTGCTCAAACGTCACTTGTTGAAGTCCAGATAACAGGGAACAAATCTAACTGTGGTGGTGATATGTGGTGGTATGTTTGACGTATGTTTGGTGCAGAAAGCATGCAAACATGTACATACGTATGTACTGTTTGATACATTTTTTAAAATTCACATTTTACAGTATTCTTCCAAAACGTGGGATAAGAAGAAGACAAAATCTCAAAATGCTTATGTGTATGTCCAATTAGTGGCTCAAAAAATGAAACAAGTTAGTTTTTTGGAGAACATGCCGACTCACTGACCTGAGGAACAAAAGCTTGCAAACCCAGTTTCCCACTAATGAGCAACCCGACAAAGAACTGTTATCTAAAGAGGAAGTTTCGTCTGGTAGGAATCCACAAATGATGCCACTAGTTATGAGCATTCAAGAACAAGCAGGTCCGCAGTGGCCTCCTTGTATACCATGACTGGTCAAACTGGACAAGTTGGAGTTGGAGACTTTCATATGTGCTTACAATCAGAAGGAAAAAATGTCTTAAACAGAGCTGATTTTCATTAATTTCAACTGATGGGCCATCTAAATTGGTCATTTATTTCCTACAGCAAATGCAAAATTATCTTTTCCCCTCTATCTAGCTGACAAATAACATGACATGCTTAAGTACCCCAAACCTCTAAAAAGTCATTTCATGACGTCATTCTACTGGTCAAATTAATTAAAACTAAATCTATTTGAATATTTGAACAACTTGGTTTGAGTTTGATTTGTTGTTTTCCAGTTATTTATAGATGGACTGCTTACATTTCTGGAGTTTTAAGTGTACACAGCACTGCTTTTGGGCAGCATGGAGAGAAGAACTGAGGAAACCACATGGAAGTAATGATGGATGGATAGAAAAGTGGGATGTACAAAAGAAAAATAAAATCAGATGGACTAGATCAAAAAAAAGATATGCAGTGAACAGACCTTTCGGACTACTTGGATGAAGTCCTTGGCGCTCTGCGGGCTGCGGCCCTGCAGCTGGCGTGTACAGGCCTCTAAGGAAGAAGCGTGGGCTATAATCAGCACGTTGTTTCCTACAGAGGGAGGAAACCGAGCAGGATGCAACATCAGCAGTGGACAAACACATGAGCATGTAAAACAATAAAGCCGAAGCTCACCTCTGTAAGCTCAGAACCTCTTCCAGGAGCGTGTTGTGTGTCTCTTACCAGTGTTTTTGCTGTCTGACAGGATGTCTTTGGTCACTTGGTAGCTCCGGCTCATGTAGCTCTCATAGGGTTCAGACACAGCGAGCTTGCTGACTGGGATCAGAGGTCTGTAAGGAGACACATATAAGAATTAGTTTTTAGGAAACGTATAAAATGAAATAAAACACACAACTAAAAACTATCTACAGATACTTCAGCACTACAGAGCTTTAAAGGAGGACAACGCAGCTTCAACGGCAGGTATTGCATGAACACTGTACAAATGTATTTACAGAAACATATACCCAAATGTACACACCATTTAAACCTGATAACAATAATAAATAAGCAGAGTGCATAGTTGTTGAGAGCGCGACTACACACTAAGCTCACCAGACGACACACGATATTAAGTTCACGAGAACAAGATGATATTTTAACATTATTTTATTTTATTTTTAAGAAATCTTCGAAGACAAAATATATGACTGGAAAAAGTCTTTAATTCGACTGAAAGTCACAAATTGCAAAACAGTGCATTTTGAAATGTTGCTTCCATATTGCTCATGTCTTGTCTGTAACTCTGCCGCTTTTTTTTTTTTGTTTCCACCTGCTACCCATAATGCTCCCACACACACCATTTAAAAGTGGCGTGGGCATCATCTACGCTGATTTCACCCCCATGTTGTCACGTTTTAATATTGCTATAATATAAGCTATGCTAACCTGTGATCCAGAGATTGTAATTTCAATTAATTGCACAAGGTGTGTTTGTATCACCTGTATGTTGTGTCTACACTGAAGTGGGCTGCAGCCAGGTCAGTGGGAGGTATCCAGGCAGGCAGGGTGTTCCCAGAAACCCACTTGGTCCATTCAAAAAGCCCCGGTTCCACCCGCACCTTCAGCTTGCCCTCCTGCTGCAAACCTGTTTACACAAACACAATTCATGAGAGCTTAACTTAAAAGTAAAAAAACAAAACGGGCCCTTGTGAGAACACCATTGCATCCTCAGCACACAACACTTTAATGACAGTATAGTTCATTTACTAAAATCCACTCCGCTTTGTACTGAGATTCAATTCATGAATGTTGGATTCTTTGTCGAGGAGACTCTTCTCACCTTTCAGGATGTTCTGTGCAGTCTGAACACACCGCAGAGAGGGAGAGCAGTACACAAAGTCTATCACTGTGTTACTCTCTAAAAGGGCCTCACCTGGAAAAGCACATATTGAGCACACACACGCTTCATATTCAGAATGCAACGCAACAACACCAGGTGTACTCATACGTTATTTAGATCTATACAGGTGACGTACCCACAAGTCGAGCCTGCGTGGATCCAAACACAGTGATAGGAGCGTCCATGTCATAGTCTCTCTGTCCTCCCCACAGCGGCAAACTGGGAGGCATGTTCAGATTGGAACGTACATATCTACCTGCAGACCAGCGACAAACACGGTTTCAGTGCAGTGAAATACTCCGCGAGACCAATCTTTCTGACCTATTCCTACTTTCAGCCTCCACCTTTAGCTTTCTTACCTTTACTGTCTGAGCAGAGGGAGAGCCAGTGTTTGCCAAAGACCACGTCCATCCTCTCACCGTGCCGACACACAAAAAGCGTCCTCTTTGGCTGCCTGGAGTGACTACCGCTAATCCGCAGGACCTGCTGGAAATGAAAGGCGGATTACAAGGCTTAGTGAAAATGTTTATACAGACTAGTATACATGTTAAATTTCACAGATTCAGTATTACATGGATTTTGAATTCAATCAACGTAAAAACAAATTTACCTGCATTGGATGACATATGAGACTGAGGGTGGGCGTGTCTCCAGGACTCGTGTTATCGGCGCGTCGGCTGTCCAGCAGTCCATCAAACATCCCTCTCTCCTTACTGGTCCTGTCACTGGGCCCACAGCTGAAAAATGAATGGGAGCTGTGGAGGACGAGCAGAAGAGACATCAGGTACTGTATGCAGTAATTAGATGAGCTGGGGAAATATTAGGCAATAGTAAAGATATTTTTAAAGACCTACTTTATACTCTTTCAATGTCAAACAGTTGTTTTATGAGTATTTTGTATCATGACGTTTAGGCTTTTTTAAAATCTGTTCATATTGTTTGGGTAATTCCGACCTCCTGTGCCAGTACGAGACGCTCTGCTCACCCATGGAAGACCCAGGTGTCGGACTCATCGGCCAGGCTGACATAGTTCTCAGGCAGCAGGCCAGACAGCCCAGAGGCCAGCGAGGTCCCGTAAACCCAGCCCTCACTGGTGCTACTCTGATCCACTGGAGACATGAAGATAAAGTCGCCAGGAACCAGCTCCAGCTCATCCTCATTCTGAGGCACGTAGGGGTACATCACCCGCAGGGTCTGCCGATGGGACAGATAGGGGCATGACAACTGCTGGTGACTTATTAACTTTTAGAACTAATACTCATTTGTCAGTATGTTTTGATGCTGTTGAAGCTGTGACCTGGAAACATTGGTTGTTAGTATGAATATTACCTCATGGTTTGCAAAACGAATGTCCCGGGAGAACAGGACTGCCAGCCAATCACAGCCTAGCTTGACTTCGATGCCCTTGGCCAGTTTCTCCAGTGATGGGAGGTGATTGGTGGGGAAGTTGTAAGCCAGAGTTACATGAAGCTGCTTCTTATGAGGCTCCACATGGACCTCTGGAGTGGAAAGACAGGACTTAGCACATCACACTAACAATTCACCGTAAGAAAGTACAAACTCTGCAACTTTTGTTATCTGTACGGAGATACAAAATATTCCAAGGGTAAAACTGCACAAAGCATCAGAGGTGAAAACTGACAACGCTCAACATTTCCACATCAGATTTTGATGACTCACTATCTCCTAACCATAAAACACAAACGGGAGCTTTAATCTGATTTGGCACTTAGCTGCCTGAAATACTGTTTGGCAGTCAGCCTCTGTTTACAAAAAAGTTACAGTGACAGATTGAGTGAGTGCCCTAATAACCCAATGTGACCGCCGCCCCGACCAATCGTTTACCACCCCTGCTGGAAAAGAAAGGCGGTCACCACACATTACATGGTGATTATGACGAGCTGCTGCTGACAAACTCTACAGTAAACACTCAACAACACACAGTGATAAAGATAGAGATGGGACAGATAGAAGAAGAAGACATGCAGCTAGCATCCTCCACGTGTTCCAAACCCAGGGCATTGTGGGTACATGGCGCGTGCCCCTTATCCCTAACGCTTGTGGTTCCTACCTGCCTTCCTGGCGGCCTCTGTGGCAAAGTCGGCTGCAAACTGCTTGAGGATGTCGGCCACCTTCTCCTCCACGAAGAGACCAATGAAGTTGGAGGATGTGTAGAGCTCTAGAGGCAGCGGGCTGGGAAAGCGACCCCGCCACTGCTGGACGGTGGCCTGGAGGGCCTCGCATAGAGCTTCTACTTTTTGGTCTGCGCACTGTGTGGAAGGAGAGCGGGTGATGGGGACGTAGAGTAAAGCACAATTTGGTCACTCTATCTTTCTGTGGCTCTTTGTCATTCAGACACACGAGAGGAAGCAGTGAGTTGAAAAGTTCAGATATTAATTATATTATTACATTTTGAGCTAAGAGCCTTTGATGACCTTTAACCCTCGACCTTGATAAAACTGTACAGTATCAGCTGAAGTTCTGTTCACCTCTCCAACTCACCATGAAGAACTGGCACAGGGTGATGTGGGGGAAAATGTTGTGGGCTTTGTTTTTGCCACAAGTCACCCGGCTCTGTTGCCAGAAGTGGGAGAGCTGGTTCTGTAGCGGTCCGCTGGGTCGCAGGTAGAGGACAAACTCCCTGGGCAGAGGGTCGTCCAGGAACGGGTCATCCACATGGGAGAACAGCCTGTGGAGAGAGAGAGAGAGAGAGAGAGAGAGAGAGAGGTAAATGTCTCTGGTCTGCTGAGCTGTGAGGAAAGTTTTCAAGAAAATCTGCCAAATCGCTTGTGGCACAAATATAATCAAGAAAGAAGAACTGGGTAAGTACACAGCCATGAATGCTAATGATTTCAGCCGCACGACCAGTTCACCAAGGCTGCCACATATGAGCCCTACAGCTCCTTTATAATTGGAACACTTCCTGTTTCGAACTGGCATTCTGGGACAGAAAACTTTCTGCCTCGCCCTGCGTGTTTGCCCGGTAACATTGCCCTCCCCTGCAGCAATGACAGCAGACATTCTGAATGAATAAACTCCTTGGCCTTCATTCAACATTTCAGATGATTTTATTTGCTCTACAATAACTTTGGGGACTTTTTGTCACCAAATGCTGTGGTACTGGGCAAAACAGGCTTTATTTTTTATTTCTTACAGTGTGTAGTTGGCGAATAGTACTGGGTTTCCTATTTGTTGATTTTGGTGGGCACAAATATTTTGTGAATATGGAATTAAATCTTTTGGGAGGAAATTAATTCAATGTTTTTTTTTTATGTATTCGTTATTTAATTTGTTTCCACTGGAATTGCATTGTTTTTCAAAAGAGATGAGCAGACTGTTCTTCAAATCCTTGCATAATCATAAAGACAGGTATTAAGTGTCTGGTATTGAATGTGCAAACTCCTTTAACAGCCTTCTACAGCAGAGGGCAGAATAGCACTCATTTCCGCCTGCCCTGAGATGTGTATGTGTGAATGTACTGTATACTTACCAGTCACATGCTGCTTGCACACTTCGACCTCCTGTTGATACCAGAGCTTTCAGTCTGTAAAAGAGCACAACAGGGAAAGAAAAATAATTTAAATTATGTCCCCAACAAAAAAGAACTATCACCTACAGGTTACTCGTCAAATACTGTATATGAAACGTGCGCAGTATCGATGTATGACTAGTGCAATTTGGCAATGAGAAGCCCCTGAGAAGTGACTTCACTGTCTGAATGAGTTAAGCAGCAGAGGAACACATTGATGTTGTTCTCTGTACAGGAGTCCCGTATCCTCAGGAGTTTTCTGGCAGCAGATGGCAAATAAAAGGAGAAGTGTTCTGGATCCACACCTATGTGGAAACTCTGACTCTGTAAACAGTGAGAGATGCAAGTGAAGGCTCTAAAGGAAAAGGAAATTGTGTGGGAAAGGTTCACAAATGACAGAACAGAAGTGCCACTGGAGTTGAGTACAAACAATGCCACTGGAAAAAGAAAACTGGTGAATTATTCAGCGTTTTCCTGGTTTTACTGACTAAAGTGAATATCTAAACAGAAATTCAGCAAACCAGACAGAAAAACATTACAATTACATTACATTCATACACGGAAATGCATTTTTCTCTCTCACTGGTTAGAGCTTAGAGGAGACTGCATTTCACAGCGGCGGAAGTAACATTTTCTGTCAGCTTTTGTTTCTATATCTAAACATTTATTGTCAGTTAGTTTAGACTGATTTATTTGACTTCACTATAGTTTGAACAATAAAAAACAATAAACTTAAAGACACGTAAACTCTCCTGAAAGCAGAGGGGTACTGCAGAGTTGGTGATAATCTCTGTGGATTTGTCACTATGAGTCACACCTTTTACATTAAACATAGTCATTTGACCTAGTGTTAAAGGGAAACCCAGTTACCGTTTAAAAAGGTTGACAAGTGTAACTTTAATCTAACGAATAAATCATTTTGACGTAGCAGGAAAAAGTACAGGTGTAAAAATTACACCTCATCAAAGAAAAACATTTCCACTCCATTTAGATTACACGGTAAACCAGTATACATACTTCCAGGTAATTACACTGTGTTGTGATGCTACTGAATAATGCCACTGAATTAAGTTGATGGGTTTTTTAATAATTCAACAGTGTGCTTTTACACAAATATTTCAGAATCCCCATTCTGACATGGCTGTGTCCTTGCTGCTTGAGTGAATGCATTTTATCTTTTAACCGTGCACAAATGTGCCGTGGCTTTAGGCAGGATGAAGTAAATCTGCTGGTTGGTGCATCTGCTGTACAAACATTTTTGCCCACGGTGAAATTTCTCAACACTTATCACGTAAGTTGCCTCCACATTTGGTACGTGTTAACAGTGTGGTAGCTCTAGCAGATAAATCTCCTGATTTATGCAACGACAACTACAGCCTTTCCCATGGCCAGTGTTACATTTTGTCCCACTAGTGATACACCCAGAATGCACCAACCTCAAGGTAACAACACTTTCATTTAGGCAGAATATTTTTAATAAGTCTTTCCACTCCCACCTTTTGTTCCAAAAGGTCAGAGTGAACCAATGAGTAATTGTACATTTATGTCACAACCAGTAACTGAGAAAGACAAGATGTGAATAAAGCACAGCTTACAAAGTCTGGAGGCAGAACAATAGGGATCACAAGTCAGAGGAAGCGTCACTGCCTTGTAGGCTCCTTCAAAGCAGCATGGAAGATGATACATAACCTGTGTAGGAAGATATCAACATAGACTCCTTCCTATGTTGATGACATCTCTCTCAACTATCAGTAAGGACTCCCAGTTACCTGGGAAATAGTTATTCATCCATTTGAAGAAGCTTACAGTTCAGATCGAGATGTTCTGCTGTCGTCGTGATTACGTCTGATTACGTCTGCTTTCTCTGGCTGAACAACACTGTAAGAAATGATTCTGTGGTCCTGTAGATTTGATTAATGTATTATGTAAAATATATTCAATATGATTGTGTTTTTCCTTTTCAGGCAAATATTTAATTACATTTCAAATAAAAATGTTTGGAATAAAATCCACCCATTGTAGTTAAATAAAACATAAGCATTATATTTGTCTAATTCCAAATAGAGAGAATATTGAGTGAATTCAAATTAATGTAATCAGGCAAATTTTAATTGAAAAGCACTTCTTGTCAAAGTGCGCCTTTTTTTAAATGCAGCAGGCTATCATCCACAAGACATTTGAATATTGCAAAATTTAACTGGTTGACTAAGGTAAAAAACTTCTTTTGTTATCATGCGGCTAGTAAGAAGGACGCATGTAGTGGTATATTACGATATAAATTGAGCTATCACAGAAAAAGAGACTCAGCAGCAACACAAAGTTGGCTTCTGTTGTCAAGGCTATTAATGTAGTAGTGTGATTTTGTTGCACTATAATATGAAAACAGCATTATATATTTTGAATTCATATGTATCGAAGTCAAATGATTATTTTGAAGAATGCGGGTTAGCATTTCCGCTATCATGGTTCCTACATCCATTGCGTGTTGATATATCCTTAGTATGTTTTTATGAAATTGCGTAAATAAGTACATTGGGTTTAATGTTAAGGTTAGACACATTTCCACAGAGAGAAATATTGGGGGTTATTGCTGGAAAGGCATCCTATGGTGGTGACGGTGCAATGGGTAACACATGCCTTTGGTGTGAGAGACCTGGGTTCAATCCCCCATTGTGTCCCTGAACAAGACACTAAACCCCTAATTGCTCCAGAGGCGTGCCACATATATAGCAATTGTGAGTAAAAGCGTCATATAAATGAATAAATGTTAGATTTTGGACGGCACTTCCGTTAGCATTGGTTAAATTCAATTCAATGTGCAGATTAATGTGTAGATGATTATTAATCTATTATATATCATTGATATATAGAATTAAATAAATTTTTATTAGTACTATTCAACTCAATATTTAGGTTCTCAATGTTTAGGTTATAATTAATTCTGTACTGTTTTCTATTTGAATCTACTCATATTAAATGGATTACTATTAAGGGTCTCATTTAATTAATATTTACTCAATACATTGTGAAATTTAATTAATAATATTGCTTGTAATCTGTTGCCTCATTTTTATTGAGTAGATATGGTGTATCTTTTCTTACAGTGAACTGAAGACTCATCAGTCAGTCAGAGAAAGCCAAATATTTTTTTTTACAATCCCCCAAAAGAGTGTAGTGTGAATACTGAACTAATGTGAATAAAGATTTGCAAGTCCTGATTACACAAAACAAAAAAGCATGCAGCTAGTTAATTTTCATTTGCTGGACTACATAATGCATTCACAAAGAGATTAAAGACAAGAAAGGTACAGAGAGAACAGTGATTTATCTTTTCATTGCCTCCGTCCTTACCTCAGCAACACCTGGAGGCTCAGCTGATAAGCAGGAGTAGGAACTGAAGATCGGATTATTCATGTTAGAGCCACAGAATCTAATAATCTGCCACTCAGAAGATAAGTGTGTACATGCTAATGTGGTTTCATCTCTGGGGAGCAAGCAGCTTCCTCAGAGGGGCGTGAGATGTTGTTCCCGTGGGATGGGACGGGCAGAGGTGCTACAGAGAGGTGTGCGTTTGTGTCTTGGCACACATTCAGTATATGTGTGCATTAATGACTGCATGTTGAAAATGTATTAGGATTAGCTTATTACAGGCCTTTAGAGGTGGCTGCTAAAATGCTTGGATTGAAAACCAGTGATTATGCTTAAACATTATTTTATCCAATCATGTTTTTTTATAATTCTGACCAAAGATGAATTAAGAAAAGTTAATCATGGAGTGTTTTCACCAGTTTTTTATTCATGCATGGATGAAAAACATATACTGTCACAACAATATGAATGTCGCTATTTAATACTGTGTGTCAACGGTTAATATTACTTTAAAGTTTATTACTTAAAGTTATTTTCCTCAGGAGTTGGTGGAGGCCAAAACAGAACAAAAAGGAGAGTGGATACCAGACTTAAATTCATCAGGCTGCCAGAAACAGGACTCCAAATTAATGCTAATGGCGTTTGTGCAGAGAGGCTTTTTGCTAGCATGCAGATGATAACAACATTTGAATAGGGCCGTTATAATAGGTGTGTGTTTTCACAACAGAATTACTATTATTACAGCTTTAATGGGTCAACCAGTAAATCTGGAGCAATTTTACCAAAATAATTTGCAGTGTATATTAAAATAAACATTTTGTTTTATTTTAATGTTTGCGAGTCTCCTGCTGGTGTGTATTGAAGTACAACTGGCCATTATACACAAGAGGCAAATCATATAGGAAAATAAAAACACCCACACTTCTACAAAACTTCACCACAGTGAGCTCAGCAGGCAGCCGTTCTGACCACAGCAGAGAGACAGTTAGAGACATCAAAGTCAGCTTACTCGTGTGCTAGCCGCTGCTTGGGTTTTTATGAAGCTGCTGTGTCCCACCGGTGTAGACCTACATACCACTGCATATGTGTGCGAGAGAATCAGAAAGAAGGAAGGGAGTGCGAGAAGCAAGCGGCTCAAGAAAGCAGTTTAAGGAAGAGCCTGAAACCACATACACCCACACACACAACACAAGCCAAACAGCACATCAAGCCAGAGATGGAGAACATAAAGGAAAGCTTTGCCACACACGAACTAACACCTGGGTTACATTTAGGGTTATTGAAAATCTGATATCTGACTGAAACACAGCAGGCTTTCACAACCATGACTAAGAAGAGGAAAGGAGAAGCGAGTCCTGTGATACACACGACATTCAATTTGTCACCGTGTTAGTCAGTGTGCAAGACAAGAGTGTCACTTACTGTAGATACTCACTTTAATGTCACTACTTTGTGCATATAAGAAATATAAAATACAGACCAAACATGTAGTCCATGCTGCTTAAAGGTGACAGTATGTGTATTATTCTGTAGATGCTGCGTATCACCAGACAAGCGTCGACGAATTTGACCAATGAAATACGCCATTGAGACAACAGTACAGCCGTGATTGGTCATGTATACAAGCAGGTGAGGCTATTTTTCTT